CCATCGTACAGTGCTCCTAAGCGAGAATGGCGTAATCTCTTGTTGGAAATATCTACCCAATCATCATCTTGATTGCGGGAGACAAGCGATGTATTTCTTTTTGCTGGTTTTGTAGGTGTGCTGACTAAGTTGGCCATGTCGGGCTTCGAGGCGGCATGTTGATGTTTGCAACTCGATTGATTGCAGCAGTTGGCTGACTTTTCAATAGACATAGTTGTATCTGAGTGTCCCAAAGTACTTGAGGTTTCGTTGGGTGTGACTGAAAGAATAGGCATCGTATGCTTAAGATAGCAAAAAAGAAAAAAGAAAATAAGAAACAGAGATACTTGGATCTCATATCAGTGTGGCTTATCTGGATATCAAATCGCTATCTGGTCCAATTAAAAACCTTGCTTATTGTCGGACCAATAAACAATGCTTTACTTGTCTCTACATTTTGAATACAGACGATGTCAGTTTTTTGGACAAATCAGAATCAACTTTTAGATGATCAACCTACCTATTTTGAACGAAACCGAAAAGGAAATTTAGGCATAAAAGCGTTGTTATTTGGATGTGTATCTGTAATTATCTAAATGCCTCTGAGACGAATTGTGTAAGTTTCAGTGATATAAGTTTTCGAGCTGTCGCTGAAAAATAAGCAGACGTCCGCTACCTTTCCAAGTGGATAAAGCAGTTGTCATCACATCTTTCGCAGGAACGACCAACGGTACTTTGATTTCTCTTTCGGTATAAGCTAATGGTCTCCACTTATTTGATCTATTAAAAAGAAAAAACGACCTGATGATTGCTTTTTTGGTTCATTTCTTGTTGTGTTTGGAACATTTTCCACTCTTCTTTTTCTTTTTCTTTTTGCTCGATTATATTCTGAGCTACCATGAATTAGAATGTCCACTAGTCTTCGTTATAGCTGAAAGTAAACAACGGCTTATTTTATCTGAATTGTGCAAGTACATCCTAAATGCATGCTTTTTCTCATTTACTAATCGTTGCTCTATATATCGATGGTTTTGATCAGAAATATTTATCCTTGGAGTTGATGCTCTCTTGATGTTAACTTATTATTCCCATTATAATAAACTGGATGTCAAGAGCATAACTATAACGGACAGACTCAGATCTTTTGTCTCTTGATAGGAGATAGCTATGCCTGTGGATAATGCTTAAATATATTCTCCTGATGTTGTTTATTACGCTATCTTAGAGAGGAGCTACGTACCATTATACGCTCTTTTTTATTTGTCTGTCTGATTTTTTATGATTGAATAAAAAGTAATAATCGATATAGACAAAGAGAATACAGCGAGGCTGTTTAGAATGAGTTTATTATGTGAAAAGTAGAGATTTAACGATCAATATCTTTACATAGATATTCTATTAACAACTATTTATATTTTTTTCATGCCAAAACCCAATGTCATTATTGCTGTAGTTGTTGTATTAAATATATAATGTTATGTGCAAGTTACAAAACTTATTTATGGTAAGTAACCATATCCTTCATTTTTTTATAGAAATGGAAAGAGTCAAGGTTTTATACGCTTTCCTCAAATGTAGTAAGTAGCATCCAGTAGATACATCTGAAATTTCTGAAGAATATTGCTATCAATACATCTACAGAAGAAGTCCAAGATGGCCAAATTGTGCGTCAGATTGACAAGAAAATCAGCAATCGAGAACTAGAAAGAGGTTATTAAGATTAAGATTCCGATACTGACGTATTGGTGGTGGGCCCACTGTCCTAAGTAGCCTCTCTTTGTTGAAGCATTTCAAAAAACATTTAACAGAACGAGAAACAAAGCCATTGAAATCACTTAAATATAAGCTATCACATGCCTCACTAATTCTAGTCATCAACAATTCTTTTTCCAAAAACTTATTTCGTTTGACTTTACTCTTAACAACTGACCAGAACTGCTCAATTGGATTCAGTTCAGGGGAATATGGAGGAAGATATACATACTGATATCCTCGAGAGTGAATATATTCTACTATATTAGTTGAGCTATGGATAGGAGCATTATCCATGACAAGATAGTATCCCTTCATTTCTGGATACTTGTCCATTTCATCAAGAGTAGCCTTTAAAAAGCTTAGATAATGGCCTGTCACTGTTCCTGTGCTATAACCATCAGTCTCACGTCCAACCTTTCTCTTTTTGATACGCTTTGGAACTCGCAAGCTAATATTAATTAAGCCATTTGCAAATATTGCACCTAAAATCGATGTTGCGTTTGCTTTCGTTGTAGGCACTGTAACTATTGCAGGAGTGCCTTTCTTTGACCAAGCCATACCCCGTTTCAAATTAATGTGAAAGGCTGACTCATCAAGAAAGACGCAATTTGTTGTGAAATCCAAGACAGTTTGTTGCCACTTTTGAACCCAAGCGTACCTTTGCTGAATCTTTTCCTCGCTGTTCCTTTCTACAAGTTGAAACTGTGCTTGCTTAATGAATAGATTGCACTGAATTGTCATGAAGTTGTAAACAGTACTACGAGAAACGTTGAGACCTACAAAGCTCTGCAATAAATGTTCTACTACTTCAGTTAAAACAACAGAAGGATTCTCGTCAATGTAATTTAAAAGAAAATGCTCATGCTCTTCTCCTAGGATACGATGATGACCTGATTTTTTCTTTTCGAAAATGCTTTCGGGATCTTCGTGATAGCGTTTGACCCATCGCTGGGCTGCCCGAACATGAATACCTAATTGTCTTGCAGCAGCAGAAGCACTTAAGCACTTGCTAAAAATAAATGAAAAAATCTAGTTTTCTCGTCATCAGAGTAAAATGTGTATCGTCGCTTATTGCATAACTCCATATCAACATCTTAACTATTTCTTTCATCTGTAGCTGGATGCATTTTAGGAATAGGTCTTTCTAGAGGCTTATTCATTAGATATTGACTACGAGAACTTATTGTTTCGATAGAAAATAGCACTTCATCAACAACAAGGTCCATGGGGTTCAACTCCGTTCTCATCAACAACATGTCCTTGTCCATCTTCGTATAAAAATTGCATACTCATTTGAATATCTGTAATTTTAAGTTCAGGGTAATTTCCCGGAAACTGCCCACCGCCATATATCTTTATCAGATTGGAACTGTACCCAGTACTCTCTGTAGGCTGTGTAACTCGACAAGCGAAGACTTTGAACACTTTCTTGTTTCTTGCCCAAACAAGAACTCTGTTTGGTCCATGGTACTCAAATACCATTTCCCCACTTATCTGTTCTCCAATCGTGACATTCTAAATGCATTGCTCTCTATCAAGTCTCCCTTCCATCAAAAATCTAGCCTCTATCGATTTTTCTTGGTAATCGTTTCCACTACACAATTTTACATCTGGAGAGCTTACTGGCAACTCATTCTCTACAACATACCTTTTACTGCCGATACAATCCTCATAACTATCAATCGACAAATCCATATTCTTACGAATGGGATTCCCGATTAATTTTAATTTTATTATATTCTACCTTTCCTCTTTTCATAGCAAAAAACAAATATCAAGTTCCACCTTTAGGAGTATGTGTGACTAAACAAGTTAGCACAAATAAAAAAATATTTTGGCACAGGTTATTTGGCACAAAGAGTGCCAAACTTAAAGAGGTTCTTTCTTGAGACAAGTTCCAAGTTTTGAAGCTGAATACCTGCAAAAGCCTTTCAGATCGCTAAAGCGAATATCGTTGCAAGCATCCGATATTCTACTGGTGTGTGTCTCATTGTCTAAAAGATGCTCTCTTTTCAACTTGCTCTTGACAATTGACCAAAATTGTTCAATTGGATTGAGTTCAGGAGAGTAAGGTGGAAGATAAACACAACCATAGCCACAACTCTCAATATACTTTCGGAAATCATCCGCTGTATGAATTGGATCATTGTCCATTATAATATAATCACCTTTGAATTCTTCGTGCTTATCCAAAATGTCAAGAGTACAGGCAATAAAATTAAAATAATGGCCAGTAACCGTACCAACCGTCTTTTTGGCCTTCGAATTTTTTGCTTTTCTTTTCTTTGAAGGCGCTACTGGTCTTCTCACTTGAATATTAACAACGCCAAAAGGTGAAATAGCACCCAGAATCGTTGTTGTTTTAGCTCTTGTTGGTTGAACAACTTCTGCACGAGTCCCTTTCTTTGACCAGGCCATCGTTCTTTTCAAGTTGATGTGAAATGCTGACTCGTCAACGAAAATACAATTACTTTCGAAGTCCAGATCAGTTTCAATCCATCTCTGGACCCATTCGTAACGCTTGAGAATGCTTGAGGGTGAGTTCCTTTCTTTTGAATGAAAATAAGCTTTCTTAAATGACAAAGCGCACTTCTCAGTCATGAATTTATGGATTGAAGCCTTAGAGACTCTCAAATCTTTCAATTCATTTATCAGACTCTCCATAGCCGGATCTAAGGTTGCTGAAGGGAAATCCATAAACTATTTTTCTAAGAATCGCTGGTGCTCTTCGTTGAAATTGCTTGGCCGACCTGTCTTAGCTTTGATTTTCTCTTTTCCATCACTCTGCTCCTTCTGATCTTTCTCAAACCAGTTGTAAGCAGTACGTCGAGCGATATTAAGCTGCGTGGCTGCTTTACCAGATATCAGGCCTTTTTCATAGACTAAGTAGAAGAACCGCTCCTTGGTATCGCTACTGTGCTTAACATACGATTCTTTGCCAGAAGTTTCTGTTGCCTGGATTTTCTTTTTTTGTTCCTCTCGCTTTACTGCTTCGCGCTCAGGAGGGCTTTAGATCTAAGTATTGATCGAAGTTGGTGACGTTGTCCAAAGGATATTGTTTTTTATCAACTTTTATATCAATAGGCTCGTTTCCAAACTCATCAACAACATCGCCTCTTCCATTTTCATAGTATACTTGAATATTCATTTCAACATTTTAGAAAAATGTGCCAAAACTTGAAGTAGAGACGTGCCAAAATATTTTTTTATTTGTGCTGAACTTAAAAGAAAAAAGTGTGCCAATTTTTATCTCTAAGTGTGCCAATAGTTTTTACTGTTATTGACTGCCAAAATAACGAAAATCAAGTTATGTTTACAAGGACTAAATATTGGGTACATTAACCAATGTACATTTTAACGATTCCTTGCACTTGGCCTTTAATTCATGCAAAGGTGAATTTGGGTCTCTGATATCTGTTGAGTGATGAGAAGGCTGATCCATGGCTTTTTGATTCTCTTCTTTTGTTCCAAACTGCAACACAAACTCTTGTAACTGTGGTCCTATATGCTCTACGAACTCATTCAAGTATCGCTTGATTCTCCAGGTAGTTGCATCTTCAATATCTTCATATATTTCAACGCAATTAACTTGATGCCACAATGCCTTTGGTATCTGTGAAATCGATGTCAAGAAGCCCTCTGACTTCTTTTTCGGCACAGTAATCATGGACTTGTAAAACACAATGCGTTTTAGATTGGGCTGTGTACTAGCCAAGATATCAAACAGATGGGAAGATGGCAATACATTGTGTAGCACTACAGTGTCTAACGATACAGACCGAATAATGGGGTAGAGATACATGTCCCAATCTTTACTAGCACAACAAGGGCATCGCTGAATTGGATTATAGCCTATAAAATCAAGCCGACGAATACGGGTGAATGTTTTTAAAAGAGCTTTTTCTAACATGAGTGAAGTAGAGAGAATACGATTATTGTTGGTATCAACCAGCGAGGCAAATGCAGCATCACATACTATATCTAGGCGCTGTGTATTAGCCAATTGAATGAGTTGTAATACATCATCTAATGCGGAAGCATGATGCACTATGTAGTCAAATTGAGATGTCTCTTCTTTTTGACTATGCTTACCTTTTTTCTTAATCCATGTCAATCTTAATTTTTCTGGCTTGATGGTATCAAATGACGCAAAATCAATCATCAGGTGACGCACATGTTGAGCAAGAGCTACATTCATCTTTTGTGACTCTTGCAATAACTGAATCAATTTTGATCGAAAGGGAAAGTTCCGTTGATGACTGGCATAATTCAACAGTGATGGCCATGGCAACAGGAAAGTAGCTTGGTGTGACTGCATGGTTTCCATGGAAATCAGGTACCATGATTGACATACCATAGCAACATTCAACATATCAATTTGCCAGCATGTACAATGGCCATCTTCGCCGTACCGTAAGTGGCGAGTATTGGAAGTGTATCGGCATGCATCATGGCCATGTTGAAGTAGAATATAGCTAAATATTTCTCGAGTAATTTCGACAGGAAGTTGTTGAATGATGCTCATTGTAAGAAAAGAAAGAAATAAAGAAGCGGTATATTATCAAATTTGCATAACGGATACCAGGCAAAAATAAAAATGGGCCACATGTTAAAGGCTATGCTTACCATATGATCTAATTTGAGAGGAGTTCCTTTTTCAGGGCACGTTGGATTTGTACGATGACCCAAAATGGAAAGTGTCTCGAAAGGGCTTTGACTTGGCAAACTATTCATGACTAGATCTTGTTTATGCTCGGAATACATATACATTATTCTTTTGAAGGTTTAATGATCTATTTGCAAGCCCCCTGTTAATATGATCGAATTGATGCGTAAAAAATGGTTCGTATTCATGTGTTTAACGGAACAATGAGAGCAAAACTTCTTGAATTTAAAACCCAAATATTTGTTGATTAATATGTTGCATAAAAGATATTTTTTGTAAATCAATCCATATATCGATTCCAAGAAAACACAAAGAGAATCTATTTTCACTATTCTTTATGAGAAAAAATTGCCCTATGCGATTAATTATCATATCTTTTCGCGTTTTGGGAAATAAATGTCATGTCGAGTCAAGTAATCTCATCATTCACATATTGGTCTGTACGCACATTAGTCTATAGACATATCAAACAAGCATGGTGGCAAGCGAGTACTGTTCAAGCTCTTTCTGAATTCAAAATAATATATAATTCAAAAGAAACATAGAATTCATAAAGCATATATGTGCGAAACTCGATGTCGTTTTGTTAATAAAAACTATAGTTCTAACACTTAGAAGATACGGTAGAAAATACATATATCATCATTTCTGTACATAAAACAGTCTAAAGTGCTAAATTGACGGTTTTTTATTCATGTTTATAAACAATAATAGTCGATCATTGTAAACGCACTACAACTGTTTATCATAAACTTTTTTTTCACTAACGAATGCTGACTTGAGACAAACCAATCAACGTTTACATTATAACTGTCTTTATTTGTCTTTTATTTCTAGGCTAATCGTTTTGCATTATGCTAGATCTATATGTTGATTCAGAACCTTTTTTTTTATTAAAGCATACGAAAAACAAAACAAATACTAGTCTCGTTTAATGTCATATCCGTTATTCTTCATTCTCATCAAAAAAAAAAAAAAAAAAATGCGTGGCCTTACTTTGATTGCAATTGCCCTCTATGGTATAGGGTTTTCAAGTGCTACTGTTATTCCAGCTATGGAAAAGCATTCTCCTGATATCGGAAATGTGCCTGTATTGCAATGTGCTCCTGGCTCAAGAAGTGACATCTTAGAAACATGCACCCGGCCAACGGGAGTATTTAACAAGCGTTACATTGGTGCTAGTGTCAACGTTCCTTGTGAAGACAGTTTGGTCTACGGTTCTACACACGGTTTTGTACGTCCTTTTGACTTTAAGAAGCGTCACCTCGATTAATACTATTCAACCTAATTGCTTTTTTAGCTAATGTAAAAGCTAAATAATAGGGGAATCTTCTATAGGGTTGCCTCAGAGACTTTATTATTTTAAGTACAATCAATATGAAATACAACTCTCTTGTGTGGTTAAAGCAGCGTAGATAGTGAGTTAAGAATAATATTTGTGGCTGCAGTATTCAATTCCTTTCAAAACGACTGATGAGATTGCTAATACTGGAGTTATCTTTTTAGTTGACGAGACATAAATCTTGAGGATATTATTGTAATGAAGAGAGACAATAGTGTTTATAGATCACACTTTTTATAAACAAACTGTTTATTCAAATAGTTTAGGTGCCATTATTTGTTTTACTTAATCTACAAGTTGATAGTACAAGAGCTTTTTATGAAAGTGTTCTTGTTATGCCCATTGATAACATTCTAGGGACTCAATATATATATACAAAGACGAAGCATGTCACTATTTTACTTTTAAAATCAAAAGAAACGATATCCGAGAGAGCGCGACCATATGAATGCCTAGTTACACAACCAATGTTTATCTTAGACCGTATTATATTTACAAGTCGCTCTATTACAAGGTCACGGTGGTTTGTACTACTTTTTGTGGATCCATTACAAGCACAGGCCTAAATTCATTAAAGATCTCTTGATGCAGATACATATTGATAAACTCAATCGAATCAAACACAATATGAACTGTCAGGTATTCTTGTTCAAATCCTTGAGATTCTGGTATTTCTTCCAGGCTTAAATAATCCAAAGCAACACGATAATAGCGAGTGTTGGTTGTCGTTACCTTAAGTATGAAATAAGCATCGGCAAACGCCATTTGCTTGGTCAGTAATTTCCCTGTTTGTACACGGACAGGCGTGACATCCAAATGAAGCCGTTCCAGCTTTGTCTGAGGCATATAGATGACAAATGCTTTTTGAGCGCTCTCCCAAACCCCACTGCAAAACCAAAGTGAGAGATACTTGAGGGAAACAAACGTTTGGGACATTTGCCTAAATGTCTCTGGGTGTATCCAAAGTGCATGACCAGCAGATACCTCTAGTTTCATCACCTGAGGATAGACTGTATTATTGTCCATGAGAGTATCGTCGTAGCAACAATGCCTAGGCAGTAAAATAACTACTTTCTCCACCTTTACTAGTTGCTGCATCATTTGTTTAAAATGACTGGATATCATCTCTGTGTATTGATAGAGACCACCTAAGTTGAACGTGATGGTATCAATTGTGTAAGGCAAAACTTGTGTCAATAAAGAAATATCACTTTCTGTTTGAGGATCAAAGTAATGCGTCATTTGAGCTGTGCGTTCATTTATATTGGATGTCAGCTGAAGTAGAAATTTAGACGCATTCGCAGATGCATTGTTGTAGTCAAATCCAAACTCGGAATTGTTATTGTAAAGTACGATCGTCAAGTGCTTCTCAGCCGCTCTGTGAAAATGCTTCTCTAATATGGATCTTATATAGTCATTGTTGTTGTGATAGCTGATATTGATAGGACGAAGAAGGTAGTGTTGACGCAAGCATAAAAAATCTAAAAATTGACAAGCGAAAACAGTCCGTTGAATCTCTGTCCATTCGTCTATGTTGGCCACCACAAATCCAATCGTCCATGTCTGTAAACCAGTCATATAGCGTATAATAAACTCAATTGTATTGATACAGAAATGCGTCATGGTCAGCTTGAGTGACTGAATACCCATCCATCTCTCTTGTATCGCAAGTCGCTCATGCCATGGCTTTTTTTGTAGGTATCGCTCAACGAATCCATCTTCATCTTCTCGCTTTGTGTACATATCCAATGATACCAGGTGCTGACAACTTTCCATCACATCCAAGCATTTTTCCATGGTATCAATATTATCTTGAGGAATAATCTTGAGATGTTCCAGTCGTGAAAACCCGCTTAAAAATTGAGTAATACCGCCCATTTCACGTGTGATATAATCATGATCATATAGCGCTAATTCAGTTGTGCAATGCCGTAGTTTGTAAATCGTTTGCAGATATGTTTTTCGTTTCTCGGCCTGTAACAATACCCAGTCTACGCGAAACACATTGAGAGAAGGCCAATAAGCCAACATGGCATTGGTCATATCGTCTTTTCCAAAATACTCGAGATCGATACAGTTGCCCGAAATGACTAGTTGTTGAACATGAGGGAAATGAATAATCAAGTTCTTGACAATATCGCTTGCTAAAGAAAGTCGAGCTCGACTTGGCATGGTGTAGTTGTGACCAATGGTAAATTTCTTGACACAGCCAAATGAATGTGTGTTCACATGTGTCAAAAAACATTGAAGGAATTGTTCCACATCATATCGACTTTTTAAAAAGACATGTTCGAGAAAAACTCGCTGCGCAGGTAAATACCATGCTTTGCAAACCTTTTGACATTGAAATACGTTGTGTGAGGATAAGAATCGAAAGATATACTCCCATATTTCAGGTGGTATCAGTGAAAAATCGTAAGGTCGTTTGTTGGTCATTTAGAAAGAAAAGAGAAAGAAAATAGAAAATCATTACGCATAACTATTCTCATTGGCATTTTCAATAACCGCTTTGTGTCAGGTTGCCTGATTTAGTTACAGACATTCCGCACAAGAGATATACGACAGTTGGCATTCCAAAAAGTCTGTCTCGGGTGCGTCAAAACAAACAAACAGTTCAAAATTAGATCTTCAAAATGCATCAATATCGTCACTTTATCAAATAAGCAGGGAGTTTTATATACTTTTAATCCTCATCCCAATGGATTCTAAATTCTTGATTTCCTACCATGACTTTGCTTGGTATATAACCATGATCTAAAGGCTTAAATGGTCTCACACCGTCATCTTGAGACAAACGTTGTAACAAAAGTGTAGCATTAATAGTCTCTATGATATCTTTCTCACACGAAGTTTCAAAAGCAGGAGACGCAGGAAGAAGAGGAGGAGGTGACTTGGGCGACCAAGAGTCTGTTGAAGATGGGCTATAAATAGGTGTAATACGAGGCTCCGAAAACCTTCTCTCCAACTGAAAGATAGGAGGCAATAAGCTTTCTTCTTCAAATGAAAAACTGGGAACAAATGTGGGTGAGGGTGTTGTATTCGGTGATTCACTGAATCCATACTCTACATCATCATTCAGCAACCTTGAGAGCGACATGCTCGAGACAATTTTGCTTTTCTTCTTTCGCGGCAACTGGGCTCCTGCTTTATCCCGTGGGATTTTGGTACGCATCAACTCGCGCTTATAGGGGCGTTGAGAAGATTGTCGCATCGTTGCCGGTAAACTGTCTCGTCGATTGGAGGATTTGAAAGAAGGGGCATTCTTTGGGTTAAGTAAAAGGCAACCGTATTCGGGATGCGAAGGGTCAAGTGCATCTGTAATAAAGCGAGGACCAAATATGGCTGCTAAATCTTTACGAATAATCCATGCTGTTCTCTTACAGAGAATATAAGCAAACTCATAAGGGATCCTAACAATTGTGAGTATCATGGTTTTATTTGTCGGTTTTTACCAAGTGCCTTGAATCTTAAGAAAACCTCCTCGAATCTTTTTGACTCTCAACTCGGGATTAGAGTCGACCATTTTTACAATATCGGCTTTCGAGTTGCCAAGTGATTTCCAAATACCGGTAAAATGGACATATCCTTATTTAGATTACAACGAAATTTAGTACAAACAAAAACGGATTCATCAACGGACTTTACCCGATTCTCGATCCCACATAATAGGCTGCCCATTGATGGTATATTCATATACTGATCTTGTTGTTAGCCTATATTGAACAAGATACGCAGTTTATTACCTGGTATATAGCCTCTTGGGTCCAAAGAGGTAGAGTATTTAGCTTTTTTTACTTTAATTAAACGTTGTGTAGGAGATGCAAATGGCCTGAATCTCGGGCAATCATTCTCTGTAGCACAATTCATGTTGAGAAAATTCAAAGAAAGAAGAGAAAAAAAGAAATAAAGTAATGGTTAAAAAGAAAAGAAAAGAAGAAAGCTGGAAAGAGAAAGGAGCTTTTTTTTTTATGTGTGGATTTTTTTCTGCTAAATTTATTTGCTAGAGAGGGATCCGAGAAATGTTTAATTTATGCTCTTTTGGAGAATGTAATGCAGCATGATTTGTTTTGTCGATCATCATAAAAAATATACTTGTTACGAGTGGCATCATTTGACTCGCTTTTTTCTTTCTTTACATTAACATTCATTTTGACGAGTATCACTTTTCGTAATTTTGTTGTCTATTGGATATAAGCATTTAATAAGCTTTTTTTTTTTATTCATTTTTTCCAGGTCCATCACAGTGTAAATTCCAGTAAAGAAAAGAATGTTGCAAGTTGAAAAGCCACCTGCTATAAGCACCTTATTGTCATATTTGAGAAACACAGTAGACATCGGCTGTTGTTTTTAAGTAAGAAACTTTATTATCCTTTGTTTCCTGCTTGTGTTTGATAAATCTAATCGTCTTAGTTGAAAACCATTGTATAAAATAGTACAAAAAAAAAAGAAATAAGAAATCCAAAATGGACCAACTCTAAATGTTAATTCTACCTCGATAAAAATGACTCAACGATGCTAACGAAAATGAAAACAAATCTTGTTTACCTCTAAAGATCATGCCCCTTTTCACATCAATAAAGTTTATACTTCTTACTGACTATTGATTGCAAATGTGGGCCAATTGAGTAACTTGAATGCTTCAAAAACTTTATTATGGGTCCTTTAAATAGCTTCATGATCTAGAGATAACAAGAAGCATTTTCCCAGTTTCTTGGTAAGACACAGTAAATTCTACCCAAACTGCCTGACAGATCATGGATGGTTTTTTTTTTGTGTGAATCACTCAAAAACTCGAGAAAGAAAAAACAGTGATAGTAAATGTAGAGCGGTGTGCATATCTTTCAAAAATAGGCATTTGATATTATCTTTTGGACTGGAATTGATGCTATTCAGAAGCTTCTTTTTGATGCAAAGTTCCAGAACTCTTTTTTGAGACAAGAGAATTTGTCTCTTTGTGCAACCAATGCATCGAAAGCACAATGTCAATAAAAAAAATGAAATGATATGTCAATGACAAACAGTTTCATACTTAAATATTTTGTCACATGATACTTCTACCTAAAATGATGCCCCTTGAGCGTTTACATTTTGCATTTATCGTCAGACAACACAAACATCGCAAGTAACTTTTTATTTAACTACAAATAACTAAATGAGATGATGTATACTATATCCGGAAATGAGCAGGGTGTTATCAAATCTAAGCTCAGAGTACGTTACAAAGTTCTAAAGAAAAAGGTTACAGGCAAACCAAAGGGAAAAAAGAAAGTAGAAACTGTTCTTGACCTGACTTCGATTTCATTTTTTTTTTGAATTAACAATTATGTTTCTTATTTTGTATTCCTATGTCAACAAAGAGCCCATCTTAGACTGCAAAGTTATGCAATCTATAATTTCCAAGTGTATAATTTTAAATATGCTATTTTTATTGTTTACTGGTGCAATATAAATGTTTCTTTATGCAATCTATTCCTGGAAATGGTGTACAAGAGATTTAGTGATTGGAAGTAGGAGCAGTAAGATAATCGCCGTATTTGGCTTCTTGAACAGGCTGAAGTTTAGAATCGTTTTCTTTTGGTTCATCGTTGGTAAAGTAGTTTTCCAAGACTTCAGGTGATTTAGGAGCACTGATGGATTGTCGATTGATGTCGCTTGGCTTGATATGAGTCACCACAGCATCAGCTTCTTCGCGCAAGATTTCTCTAGCAGCAATAGTGGATACGCGACGACGAGACAAGGCTTCCAATTTTTCAGCTTCAGACAACTTTTCTTCTTCAGCTTCAATCATCTTCTTGAACAAGAAGTCTGGATCTGTCAAAGTGCCTAGTGCTCTTCTTAATTGTGTGCTAAGATACGTCAAACCCACTTCAAAGGAAGCGTTCATCCACCCAAATCCTTCACGAGACACAAACTTGAAATCAACACCTACGTTACCATATTCCACTTGAACTTGATGCGACAAGTTAACCACATCAAATTTCTCGGGCACCACACCATTAAAGTCCACAAACGACTTGGTGATGGTGTAAAGGAAACGGTACGCCAAACGAGCGGCAATATCATCCATGCCATAATTCTCAAAAGCAGCCCATGTCATGATTTGATGAGGAGCCCAACCAAAGGGGAAATCCCATTGACGATTAGGACGGTCTAGACTAATTTGGCCTCGCGATCGCTCAGTACCAGACACAATACCACCTTTGACTTCAAACTTGTAGAGACTCATGGCCAGTTTTTGAGCTTGATCTTGAGATGCACAGCCTGCCCACATCATCCAGTAAGCAGTAGCGCTTTCGTACGTCGTCATTTCTTCTTTGACAGTATCATAGTCATAGTAAAGATGTTCTTTTTCGTTCCACAAGTACTTGTCAATACGCTCTCTTCGTGCAGTAGCTCGGTCAGACCATACTTCTGATGTTTGCTTGTTACCGTCAAAGTCTTCCAAGTCGTCATCCAAAATATCTCGGATACAATCAGCAAGGTCGGTTTCGTACTTATACAAGAGAGCATTCAAGTCAACCGTAGCCAAGTTAGCACAGATACCATCAAAGCGATAGGTTGTATCATGGCCGGATTCTCGCACAGCGCGATCATGCAAAAAATATTCATCCAATTCGGGTTCTTTGACGTCGCCATTGTTGTACAAGGTATTGAATTCGGGAATCGAGACGTTGTATTTTTTAGCATATTTTAAAACGACATGATCGAAATGAGAGGCTTCTGTCTCAGGAGGAATACCAAGTCCTTCAGGGCGGTAGCGAGAGAGCATGGTTTTTTTATCTAGACGAGGTTCAGCCATCCAAACAGTATGATATTCTTTGATAGCGGATTTTAAAATTTCTCTTAACCAAGCCTTGTTTTCTTTTTCTGTAGCAGGATCCATAGCTTCGTATACTAGAGAAAGAGTTAGACAGAAAAAAATGTTATACACACTTTACCTCGAATAGCAAGATCTGTTAAAAAGGGAGGTTGTGAGCGAGACAAGTAATAAGAGCGATTGGCATTCAGAATTTTTCCATAGTGCTTGATCTCATATGCAAAATTTTCTGCCATGCTTTTCGCCAATTCAATTCGGCCATCAGCCAACAAACCCAATGATTCAAAATACGAATCCCAACCATACATCTCATTGAATCGACCGCCAGGTACAGCAAAGGGAACACCACGAAAATCAACCTTGCCATCTTTATCCTGAACCTTATGCATCGCAAGTGCCAAAATACCAGGCTTGTCATTGATACTCTTGACATATTCAGGTGTAATCTCCTTGGGCAAGTACTGCACATCTAAATTAATATGTTTCTTTTCCTCTGAGACACGCTTATAGTAATCATAAATCTCAGTTTCATTATAAGGAATATAAATGCGATTGGTGATATCCAGTTGTCGGTTTTTGGGATCAGAGCAAATGAATTCCAGACCCTCGCCATCAATGCGTCGAGTGAGACTGTCCCAAAATAGATGGCGAATCATTTTGGATAGTCGGTCCACTGGGTTTTCATTTAAGCGGTCTTCATCCAATACAATGTATTTACGGCCATAGTCTTTAGCCAATGCGAGTTCTTGAAGCAAGTTGGATAACATATAGTTACCTCTGATATGGAAGCGTTTGTATCCACCAGAATCAGCTGTACCAAGAGAAAGCGTTTTGGGGCCAAGATCATTAATAGTAATTTGAAAATCACCATCCGTGTCTTCTTGTTCCAAAATTTGTGCAAGTGTTGAATCGACTTCAATCAAGAAACGACGGTTTTTTCCTTTATCCTCTATAATAAAGAATGAGTTATGCTTCATGTCTAATGCATGTTATTTACCATAAGATGCTCTTCGTTGAATGCCAGAGTTGGAAGGATCTCTTGAGTCACCAAAATTGAAACTTGATGTACCACCTCTCTAAAGAAAACAATCAATACAACCATGTCATATTTATTCCTTTCTATACATACTGTGTAAGTTCTTGTTCTATGTCTAGGTCCATTTCTGCCAGAAGTATAGTAAGTAGCAGCTGGGGCAGTAGGATCAACGGATTCTCTTCTATTATCAATCATTTGTTATATATTAAGAAAAGAAAAAAAGAATAAAATGTCTTGTTTTTCGTTATTCAATACCCTTGGAGATTATAAATAATTTATTGCTTTTAGTCTTGATCTTATCTAATTCATCTGGTTTTGCATAAAGTGTAATGACGATAGGCGTAAAACTTCTAGAAATTAAACGCCAGATTTCAAACCTGAGATAAGCTTTTTGGCCTTCAACTCAAACATGGCCTCTATAAAAACACGTATTGGTTTGAATGTCTATCATACCAATGATGTGTATATATGTACAGTAGGATTATGCCATCAGACCATAACATTGACACTTCATATTTTTGATTTTTATGTTCTCCTATTTGAGTATCCGCTAAACTACACAATGACGAAATAATTACTTGTACGATTTATGTCATTTTCTCTAGAGAATCTTTGTCTTTAGTGTATAAACTTTAATACTTCTTAATGTCTTATTATCAACATAATTCTATTTATCATATACACTGCTTTTGGATTTATTTACCTCCTTTGGCAAATGCTGGCAAATCTAGACTGTAAAGCTCTGGAATAGTACTTGATCATGCTATTCATTTGGCAGTCTATTGCTTCTCTGTAACCAAATAGTAGCAATTTTCAGAGAGATAGAGAGAAAAAGAGAAAGGATGTGTTGCTTTTATCAACACTGTGATCAGAATAAAAGCCTGAAGCTGAAAGAAGCAAGTTTTTGGCCAAGTTCAGGTGTACAAGTACCTTGAGTAATTAAAACAATGGTCTTGATTGAAATATGGAAGCATTCTTTATCTAAAATCAAAGTGATAAACATATATACCATTCAAAAATCTGTTGTTCCAGAGATATTTTGTAGTGAAGACTTTTGTCCAAGCCAGAAAGTATCATGAATAAACGCTGACCGTCTCAATATAACACAGGGAAACCTACTTTACATTTATCAGTGAATCGCATCTATGACAATGAAGATAGCCTACCAATGAAGAAGAGGGCTTTGGTACGCGTATTTTTTTTTGTATTAAGTGATTACTTTATTTATGGTGCGCGTAAACTTTAGTCTACTTTGGCTATATATTATTTAAACAACCGATTCAAGACGAATTGAGCAGATTGCATTTAAAGTTAAGGTTTTTAGCATTTAACTTGTCATCAAAATTAAAGAGAAAAAGGAAATGGCTCTATGTTTCCCATGAATGACTTTCTGATGCTATTCCCACATAAAAAAGAGTTCAATGTATTGACACTATCCTACACCAAATTGAGTGGCTTTGTACTACACACGTTTTCTTTAAAGACAGAAAAGAAATGAAAGACTTGTTTTTCCCCTTTTTCCATTATTATGTCTTACACAACACCTTTATCTGGTCATGTTGGCCATTTATCTGTCAAGGAAACAGACTTATTGAAACAATTATGGGCTCGTCTGTTTGAGTTATTTAAGCAACAAGGTACAGAATATAAGCCTAAACAAGAACAAGAACAACCCATTCAAACAAAGAAGAGTTGGTTTGGTAAAAAGGAAACATCCAGGGAAACCAAGGAATTGTTTATTGGTACAACCACAGATCCCTCATGGCTCAGTTTGCCTCTTGAAAAGGCCTTGCCTTTGATCCCTGGTGTGGATCTTCGTGGCACGTTTTGGAATATGGTCGCTACCGATAATCCAGATGCTGTTCTTTTGCGTTTCTTACGCGCTCGTAAATGGGACCTAGAGGCTGCTTATAACATGTTGGCCAACACCTTAAGATGGCGATTGGTGATGCGTATTGATGATATTGTGGCTCTGGGTGAAAGTGGTATGCGTGATGAACTTAATCGACTCAAGCCCGAATTGGGTGATTGTTTTGTAACTCAACTGAATTCCGGTAAAGCTTATCTTGGTGGACCTGATAAAGCCGGCCGTGGTATTTGGTAAGTGAACTGAAGTGAAAATGGTCTCCTAATAGGTGTTTAGTTTCATCAATGTCAACTCGCATCATAAAGACGATCAACCTCTTGAAGTGATCAAACTGTTGACAATGTACATTATGGAAACATCACGTGTCGTCGTGCACCAACCTATTGAATCAGCTTGTATTGTCTTCAACATGGACGGATTTACACTTAAAAACATGGTACATTGCTTAAAAAAAAAGCGAGAGAGAGAGGGGGGGGAGTATGTGTCACTATGGACTGATAAAAAAAATAGGATTTTGATTTTGTGAAATTCTTGGTCACTTGTTTCGAAGCCTATTATCCCGAAACGCTTGGCTCATGTTTGATTCACAAAGCACCTTGGGTTTTCTCTACTGTTTGGAACTTGATCACGCCTCTTTTGGATCCTGTTGTGGCCAGCAAGATTCATTTCACAAAGGATTGCGATGAATTAACAAACTATGTGAGTTTGGCTGCTTTGCCCGGTAACATTTCTGGTGACAAAGAGAAAAAGACATTGGATGAATCTGTCAAGGTGGGGCCTGTTGCTCCCGGATCTTTAGCCAAGCCTACTACACCTGCTTATCAAGAATATCAAGCCATGATTCAGAAATACGAAACCGAGACAGCTGCATGGGCCAAGACAACTACATCGGAGGAAGAGAGCAAGGATTATAGTGCTCGTCATGAAGTTGCTAGACAATATCGTGTTGCCCGTTTCAAGGCTGAATTAGATATTCGTGGTCCTACTAGCTACCAAGCCAAGGGATTAGTGACTATCAACCCTGAAGGTCGCATTATCCTTAACTATGGTAGCGAAGGATTTATTCCCTTAGATATTACTGAAACTGTTTAAGATCTCTTTCTCTCTCTCTCTTTTGGAAAAGGAATGTACAGTTTTCATACCCTCTTCTACTTTTATTAATATAAAATATACTTAATATGTTACAATCAATGACGAACACTTTGAAGTGATCTGAGCAATGTATGACTTGAGTCATCCATTTCCAGAGACCAGATCATGGCACCACCTAGTTTCTGACTTTTGACATAATTTACTTTCGCTTGAAGTGATTTCACGTTATCAAAGGTTAAAAATTTCTTATCATTGGCATGGAAAGCATAAGGTGTGACGGATCTGCTGTCCCAGTATGTCTTCCATCCATCCTTGTTACTTTGAATACCATTAGCATGGATTGATCTCCATTGATAACCACCAGTATAACTCTTGGCAGCACCAGGACAAGGATCAGCAGCATATTCGTCGTATTTATCACCCTTGATGGCGTTGTTGTTTGCCAATTTGACATAAAGACCAGCAGCATGCACTTTGGATTGTGTCTTAAGTACAGTACCATAGAATGGTACACCTAATGTTAATTTAGTTTTGGGAATACCAGCGTTATACCAAGCGGTGATGGCTTGGGTTACACTGGTTTCATAATACCGAGCACTAGCAGGTTTGAGAGGTGCATTAGGACCTGCTTGTACCATCCAACTACCACTGATATCATAAGCCTATCCAACATGAGTTATCTTCAAAATCATTGTTTGACCTACCATGACATAGAAAGTATCGACAGTCTTGGACCAGTCTTGATCGAGTTTCTTGATCGAATGTCCCTTTTCATCATTGAAGGGTCGAGTAGTGACAGCAAGTGTGATTATTTTATGGATCTTGGGATATTTAGCATCAAGTTCTTTACGTAAATGTTTAATAAACAAGAGATAATTAGCAGTATCTTTTTGTCTCTGTTACAGTTGTTAGTCAAACGTCTTTATGTATCTTTCTCTCACCTTTGATTACAAGACATGCCATTAGGATCATTTGGATATTCTGTTTTGTATGAGTAAATTCATAGTGATACTTTGTCTTCACTTACCCCAGTCAAGATTGACACCATCAAGATTATATTCAGCGACTAGTTTGACGATATTATTGACAAATGTCTTACGTTTAGCTTCAGTCTTGACCAAAGAACTTAGGTATCTAGATCCACTCCATCTAATTCAAGATGGTAAGTCTATGTGTCACCTTGTTTAATAAACTCACCCCCCTACACTGATACTCACACCCACATGATGTTGATGTGCTGTCTTTGTAACTTGAATTGAAATAAGTAAACTCGTATTTTTTTGACATTAATGTCCTTACATGATTTCAATGAACTACTGGTGATTTCTTTCAAATTGCCATGTACATCAGGTTCAGCAAATGCATAGACGACATGATCCATTAGACTCCAATTGATGGATTTAGGTATTTCCCAATCAACGACATAAGACACTAATCGATGTTTTCCATATGTTTTTTTGGTTGTAGAGGCACAGACAAGTGAAAAAAAGATCAACAATAACAAATAAAGACGCATTGCGATGTAAAATGACAAAGAAAGGGGGAAAAAAAGAAAAAGTAAGACAGGTCCGTATTTATAGCCTGTGTAAGGAAATTAATTTCTTTAATATATTGGCAACATCAGAAATAAATTGAGCATAAACATTAGGTAATGCACTAAAGAGCAAAAGGAGAAGGAGAAGAAGAAGAAAAAACAGTGCCAATGGCTTGAACAATATCTTCATTTCGTCGATTGAATATCATACTAAAATAACTAAAGTATTTCTCTTTATTCACAAGATATCCATTCAAATTGAATGAGGTTTGATGCTTCTTTGTCTCTAACAATAAACCAAATACATTGTTAGTCTGCTGATCTCCGCTTGAACGGCAAATGCTTTCTGTCTTTGGCTTGGTTCTTCTTACGGCGTTTCTCAAGAATACGATCCACGCTTTTAGCACCCAATTTCTCGTATCTATCCATGAGGTCCAATTTGCGTTTTTCAGCTAGATTAAATTTGATTAATATAAAAATTATAGACGGTGTTACCAACTTACATCGCTTAAGGAAATAAGGCGTCTTGCCTTGTTTGACCAATTCTGCTTCCTGCTTCTTTCTTTCACGCAACAAGGCTTGTTTTCTTTTCTTTTCTTGTTCTTGTTTTTCTTTCGAAACCTAAGTGACATGCTTCAGTTTTAAACATACATCTATATGTTGTATATACCATTTTAGTCAGCAATGCCTTTAGTTTTTCTTGCTCTTCAGGATCCTTTTCTTTCTTTAAACGTTGTTTTAACATGTCCATTTCTGATTTTTTATAATCATTCAAGAAACCATAGGATTTTTCAAATAAATCCTGATTTAATTGACCTGATAATTTATCAAAACGAGGATCACGTCGTTTCTATCCATGTCAGCCAAGATGTTTGCTATCTAAATCTTACCTCTGCTTGGATTGGCACTACTTCTCTAAAGCGACCCACAGCACGCTTTGATGATATTTCCATAGGTCTATATGATTACGTTTGTGTCAATTTAACGCTACAGGCAAGCTATGTCTTACCTATGCTTATTTTCACGCTTCATTTCTTCTTTTGATAATTTAGATTTAGGTTTCTTTATTTTACTAGCTGCACCCTTCAGATCTTGAAGAATTTGAGCTTTGGATATCTTTTTCTTTTCATGGTTAGGCTCCATTTTGCCCTTGATTTCAGTCAACTGTTCAAATGAGACATGAGCAAGATCTATAGCATGTCAGATCGTGTTCAATTACAAAATGTGTGTTGTACCTCGTTTGATTTTTGCCATTTGAGCTGCTTTGTCTTCTTCTTCATCTTCGAGTTCTGATTCCTCGAGATCCTCTTGTTCTGATGCATCAAGATCTTCTTCGGATGGATCTTCCTAAAATAAATGAATAATGGTTGTTTTTTTTTAAAGAAAAAAGACTTGATCAACTTTACTTGTTCTTCTTGACTATCATAGTCGTAGCCATAGTCTTCTTCTTCCGATTCAGACTCGATAGGTTGCTTCTTTCTAATGGACATAATAATAATAATAAAAAAAAAGAAAAAAAAAGAAAAAGCCACTCTTTTTTATTCCGCATAGAAATCATTTTATGCACAATGCTAAAAAAAAAAGGACTGTGTGTATTCAACAAGTCCAACTTTATTTACATTATGCTGCTTTTTGCAATCTTCGCTTGACAAAGCTCTTTACACTCTCATGACCACTAGAAAAGAATTGAGTCAGTTTCTATGATTGATAGACAAACTAAAATTACCTTTCAGAGATTGTCATCTTGCGCTTAGAAGGATTAGACCATAACAATACACCTAAATCCTTTGCATATTTCTCAGCCGCATCAAAATCAGCTTGAACATTGAATTCATGGTAAAGATAGGCTATTAGAATATCAGTATACACAGCACAATGAAATGCATAGTACTTTACATGCAGTAGGCTTCAATCTGTTCCTCTCCATTTCCCATAAACGGATTTGATCTATAACCGTAAGAGGCAAAATAGGTACCTTTTTTCTCATTTGGGGATGGGCATGCGACTGCATATAATAAATGATCTAGTACAAATGTTAACTAGACTATGGTTTTACCTTCTATCTCACCTGTTCTGCAGTAATGCCTTTCATAAGAGCATTTCGAATACTATCTCTTGTGATTACACCTGTTACCATGTTCCTGAATCGAGACTGCAATTGAACAAACAAGTTCAAGACAGCAATTTGAAGCGGTGAATCTATAGCGATGTGAGTACAATAAAGTGTACCTCTATCCTATTACCAGTGTAAGCATAAATCTTGTAATTAGTTTCCAAGATAATGAATCCTTGATCTGCTTGTTCAGCATCATTGGTAGCTGCAGTTTTGATAGGATCATTTGTATTGACAATGGTTGTACCAGCAAGTGCAGCATTGCCCGAAGTTAACGTGGTGGCTAATCGCGTAGGATAGTATCTTTTGGACACTTTCTATAGAAACATAGAGATCAGACAACTTTTAGTTTGCTTTAGACATTACCTTTCTTTGGTACACAATGCCATAATCACGTAAATCTTCCAACATTTGAAGTTGCGTTTGTGTCAAGGTCTCAACAGAATAGTTCTATAGGATCTGCCCTCAATTGTAAATTCTTGCCTAATTTTTTGTTTACTGCATTGCATTACCTCTCCTAACTCCAATGATCCAAGTTGAAACAGAAAGTTAAGGACTTCAACCAGATCCATTTGAAGTACTTCAGCCATGTCCAAGTATTGCAACAAAAATGCCCATACTTGTGTATTGACATCCTGAAGTAAGAACTGAAAGCCTTTGTTAGTAATCTGTAGCTGGCCTGTCTCTGAGCTAAGGACATGTGAGTCAAATAGTCTATGTTTGATAGCATACCTTGTCTGCATCAGTTTACTTCGTTCCAGTAGATTCAAGACACCTCGACTAGGTTTCTTTGTAAGTGAAGTGCCTACCATGTAGTGAAGAATAGCTTCCCATTGTGTAGTAGCATAATTGTCCAAAAAATGGACATCGACTGCATGCTTATCAGGAGAAGCATAAGGTAAGCCAAATGATTGTTGTGTGCCACTAGGTTACATGAGTATTCAATACATAATGAAAGCTTTATTTACCCTCCTGTCAAAGCATTTTGAAATTCTTGTCGAAAAGTGTTGTTCATGATTAATACTTGATCCTTTTGTTCAAGGATACGAAGTCTTGAGAGCTTTAGAAGGGATTCAGTCAACTTTCTAACAAAGTCATGAGTCATACGTAGTAGGATGCCGTAGCACTTACCTTTGACCTTCTTTGTTGACCCATGTATGTATATCCACAACGGGCATGGGCATCTCCATATACAACAAAGACATGACAATCTGTCTTCCTAGACTTGGTAACAATCTATCATCGTGTCAATAAGAAAGCAAGGACAACATGGTAAATTATACCTAAAGATAGCTAGACACGTAGCAGGCTTTTCAAATAGCCGCATAAACGTAATGGTAGGTAGAGTCTCAAGATACTCATAGATGTTGGTCTTGAAATTATCCACAGACATTGTTTTATGCTTTTGGTACGGAAAGAAGAGACAGCTTCTGTCTATAAAATCTTTTTAACGCGTTTAGCGGAGATTAGATTCGCTTGAGCAGAGGGTCACATCCATTTCTGGATATTGCAGTATTTACTATATATACTTGATCGTTATGCTTATTAAACAAAGCTCTCGCATCCGCCAATTTTCTAGTTATTGAACTAGTTAGTCTTGGTGAGTTCTTGAGCAATATGTTGTTCCCGCATCCACAGCTTGACACACACACTCAGAAGACGACCAAAAGAGAGAAACAGAAACCGTTAGTATATGTTGTTGGAAAAAATAGTAAATAACCCGGCCATTTCTCACATGGTATAAAAACATGATCCATCAATTTTTACATTCACTTACACAGCTTGAAGTTTAATTGTTTCTACGTTGGCTTGTAGAAAATATTGTGTCGTGTCAACTAACAATCGGTGGGCCAATGTATTTGTAAGCCTAATTAGTTTATACCATATATCAGTTTTACTACGCTCGGCCCTCATATACATTTGTGTAGGCTTATTTTAAAGAAAAGAATTTCTTCTAGTATATATAGCTGACTCTATGGGTAGCAACTCTTGGTGAATGACTGGATGGTATGGCTATATGAGTGCTATGTGGTATTTTTTTAGTAAGAGATGATGTTGATCATGATATCCTTTCTCTAACAATCTATACAAGAGTGTTAAAGGTATTCAAGTGTGTGGTTTATTAGTATGAGGGGTAATATCTAAATGAATTATGTGCAAACAATTCATGTTATGCTATAGCTATACTTGTACTCCTGCTCTTATTTAATAGTCAGGTCTATTTTCTCTTGCTGAATGCTGTCTTCAAAGTTGAGTTGCTGGTATGCATTGTATATATTTCTTTTCTGTTGCTCTCTTTTTTTATCGCCTTTCAATAATGTTTGGATACAATAGTATATGATTGGATTCATGTAACCAATCATAGAAGCGTATACAATATATTATGTAATGCATTAATATATAGGAACAACCAATCTCTAGTCTTCAAATTGGTTGCTTTACTTCTAATACTGTCCCTTTTACTGCCGACGTGCGGCCTCAGTGATTACATAATACTGATTCTAGTTGGACAAGTTCCTCTGAAATTGAGTTGATCTCATTGTTGATACGTTTGGTTTTCTTGTCAATTGTTACCTAGACATCAATATAGAAAAAAATATAAATATTAACTCAACCGCACTCTAATCAAGTGGCACCAATTTCCTGCAAAAGTATGCTGCTCTTAGCACTAAAGAGTACACCATGCCTTTTTTGTATGTTTCGTGCCTTTTGAAGACAAAACGCTTTGACTAAAAAAAAAACATAGTAATAGCACTTTTTTATTTTGAGTACCTCTTGAACTGCGTTTTGATTAAAAACAAGAAATTGTCTAAAATAATGCCCTAAATCCAAAAATGCAAGAAAAACGCGTTGTTTATCAAGCCCTTTGATGATCAAACGCGTAAAATAGTCTATGTTGTTTCGTACGCGTGGAGAATATCTTTCATAAGACTCTTTTGGATTTAACACTTGGAATATGTCTAGTAATATAAACTATTTTTTTTTTCATAATTCTATAGAAATAATTGCTTGTGCTAAAGGTGGATTTTTATTTTTGATACAAAATTGTAAGGGTATCATAAGGCATGATAGGCCCAGTTTTTTTTTTATGCTTTAATACTTCAAGTATGTCTGTTAATAACCACTGATGCTAAAAATCATATTTCGTAAATTCCTTGTAACTCGATTCGTTTAAAAGGCTGTTTTTTTTTCACTGAAAAACCTAGCATTATTTCCAACATAGTAGAAAACACATACGCACACCAGCTGGAACAGAGTGTAACTTGAATATGGTCATGTGTATATGCAAACAAGAGCTTTTCGTGGAAGAACTGCCTCACAAAGGTAAGAGAAGCTGTACTAAAGGGTTCAAGACAAATGTTTTTGAGTAAAATCCAAATTGACCCCAATATGCTGACGAGAAAAAAAACATGTCTGCTTTACTAATGATCTCAAGCGAGGATATTCTTGTTTGCTAAACGGAACATTTCGACACGAGTATGAGCAATCAGGCATAATGAGCTTATTTAGGTGGTCCTACACAAGAAGAAAGACGAAGCAAAACGACTCGGTATGTTGGCGAGTAAATTGTAGAAGAAGAGTCATGACGCCAAGTACTGAATGAGCGGGAAACTCAAGTATATCGCTGGATGTAAATCGTCTACGAAAATCATATCCTTCCAGTTGTAAATGAGAGATAAGGCGTATCTAATAGAAATACAGCTCTAATATTCCTTTTCTTCCTGTTTGGTTACTGATTGTTGTCAGCAATAGATGAACTAGGTACACGTTCCAGTAAGCATTGATGAATAAGTTTATAGTACTACTTGCGATTGAACATACAAATTAGCATCCGTCTTGGAGAACCATTGCTCTCTACAATTGCAACATTTTGCTGCTCATCCACTTTAACATGCCCATGGCAAATTGCTTGCATATCCTATATCATACTTTGGGATAGTAAATGCGTTACAGGGTGTCACTGTGTTCTCTTATTATATTCATTGTCGTTCTCTTAAGAGAAAGCCATGACTTTAAAAGTTTAAAAGAAAGTATGACTCTTGCAATACTTTGCTTTACCCTTTGCGATAGATAAAGAAAGTAATTTCTATATCTAACTACATAAAATATCAAAATAAACCCCATTCATGAGATTGAAACAGAAAGATCCGTTCTAAACAACAAAAGATATTCATCAAGAGTGTTCTTTTATACAGGCATCATTTATGACTGAATGAGTCGTAAATAGATCAAGACACAAAGGTATGTTTGAAGTCGACTCCATGTAAAGAGAGATAAGCTTTTCGCAGCATAAAACATTGCTAAGGAGGAGATCCGCACTCTTTTTTTTTTTTTTTTTTTTTTTATTTTTCATCCGAAATTTTATCTTGTATAAGTTGTTATCGTCTTGTCAAATGATATCATACCAAAAAATCAACAAGGAACGGATTTCATGCCACGTAATCAGGGTCCTATTTCGGGATAAACTAAAATGGCTTCTATCTTTTTGAGAAGAGAGAATAATTCCTTTTCGATAAACTTGTTTTTTTTTTGTACCATCATTTCCCGTATTCCAAGCTTTTTCCAAAAAGATTATATAATCGTGCTTTATGAAGCATCATTCAGTCTAATATTCTTGTCATACAACAATGAGTAAAACGATGCTTAATGGAGAATTTTCGCAAAAAAAAAAATTACCTACTTCCATTACCACCCGCTCGGGAAAGCGAAAAAAAGGAGATCCGCAACGTGCAAACAATGACGATGAACGACATGTCGCATAAGTAAACAAAGGCGTCCTATAGACTGAAAGCACCTCATTTCTTATTGGACAAATTCATTTTTTTGTTTTTTTTTTAAATTTCCGAGTGAGGGATGTGGATACGGAAAATTAATAGAAAAACCCTGTAAAACTTTGAATTTTTGGACAGCTCGATGTATTGACTTTTTCCTCGGTAATGTAAACAGAAAGGAGACAATAAGGAATTTTTTTTCGATTTTGTAATGGCTAGTACAGAAACAGTAGTTTTTTTGTTTATAGACTCACTTGATTCTCTATGGTTCTTTATTTTATTGTGTGAAGGAAGTTCAAGGTAAACTTTGAGAAAAGGAGGGGAACACAAACAAAAACTACAAATGTGGGGTAAACGGTATGATTGGTATACATCGGAACACACGGAGTTTCAATCTTAAAATGGAATGTCCGCTTAAAGCAAAGAAATAAAGCAAAGTTAAAGCTGGTAAACGATCATTATGCAATAACCAGAAAAAATGATCAAACATTCGATCGAGTCATTCTGATGCTTTTCATTCTAATTCTTTCTTGTCATAGACAATCTGACAAGCGAGAACAGACTAGTTTAAGCTATTCTGTGTGGACCAACATTGATTTTGGATTTAAGCTGACAAGCAAAGCAACATTATCAACTGGGTGCCATTCAATTGTGGCCCTGGGAAATGTTTGACATTCCCAGATTTTAGATTCCCGAGGGCCACATCGAGAGAAAAAAAAAGCTAGAATAAATCTTTAAGCGTATAAATAAATAAAAAAAGGTGCACCTTTTCTCTTTTTCTTTTCTCCTTTTTCTTTCTAATTTCTAGGGGGGTTGTTATTTTAAGAGATTGTTTTATGAAAGAGCGAATATGAATATTCAAAAATTGACATCTACAAAATCATACAATAATAATAATAGTCAGACAAACACTAACAATCAACTGGACAGTGCTTATTCATCGGGATCATTACCTTATTCTTCTAATTCATTAAACATCTCAACTTACTCAAAAACAAGTTCTACCACTATGAATCCATCTGTTTATACAGGCCAACCCTCTTTTTCTTATATGTGTTCTACTCAGCCACCTTTCCAACAACAACAACAACAACAACAACAACAACAACAGCAGCAACCACCACCACCACCACCACCACCACCACAACAACAACAACAACAACAACAACAACAACAACAACAAACACAGCAGTCAACTGATCTTCAATCAGTTATTACAAAATACCACACAAACCCAGAACTACTTAAGCTCATATTGGCCAGCAAAGTAGAGGAAGATAAACGAAGAACAGAAGAAGCAAAGCTCAAAGCAAAAGAACTTGACTTGTATCTTAAAAACCAAGAATTATCTACGAAAGACAAGAACCAAGGAGATCGCAGACGCTCTTCAGAAAGTAACAGCAGCAGTACAAGTAGTCTAGGTAGTCCTACCAACAGCACCTTAACAACAAATGATACGCTAATGCATCGACGCATTGCGCCTTATGCTATCTCGAGACCAGGTGTCATGTCCCCTCGACGCAATTCCTCTTCTCTTCTCTCGATGAACCAATTATCAATCAGTGGACAACCTGATATGTTGTCAACATCAGCACCTAACCCTTCACCTCAATATTTATATCCTTTGCCATCCTTAAGTAGTAATAGTCAAAAGTAAGTATGACAATATCTCAAAAATGGGCCCTAACATGTTGATAGTCATTATAAAACAACGACACCAATCAAAGTCTCACGTCGAAGAAAATCAATGCAAGCCATTACAAAAATTGTTGAAACTACTGAGTTTCCTTATGATGATCATTACTTTTGGAAGAATAATGGCAATACTGTACAAAAAAAGACTGGTTGTAGAAGTGTGTATTATAAATGTGCTAATAGCTGTAAGGTAAAGTACATAAAAAAAATCCACTACTCGGATAAAGTCGGATTCTATTGGCGTCCTTTCCGATCAAATAACACATGAAATTCATGCTTTCTGTTTTTTTTAGGGTTGTCCTGTCAATAAAACGGTTGTTGAACAGCCAGACGGAAGCTATGTAATCAAATACAGAGGGGATCATATACCTGAATGTACCAAAGTAGAACATATTAGAGACTTGTAAATAAATAAAAAATAAAAAAAAAGAGAGAGATCAATGCACATAAACTTGACGTATTTGACCGAAAAAATGTCTTGTGTTTATTTAGCGTGTTCCTATATATATAAAAAAAAAGGTGGATATAAAAATGATTTAATTTCTTCATTTTCGCTTCTTTACTTTTCATTTTATTTTCAAAATGACATTCTCTTTTGCTCTTCCAAGATTCTCTGGATCTACATTAGAACCACAATCAGAACCTATTATGCTATATGAACCACAATACTATCAGAAAGGCGCAGGAAGAGCAATGCATCTCCAATTAGTGCCTACACGGCCTACTCCACCTTTAAAACGGGCACTTAAACCACCTCACATTGTCATCCCACCACCCAATTTCGACCATATGTATATAGACGATCAAGTATTCTCAGCGTGGTCTTATGAAGAGGGATCAACAGCGGCATTGTGGGATTCGCCTTGATGCTCTGTATTTTTCTCACGATTTTGTACTACTACTACTACTTCTATTGCTATCATTCTGTAAATATAATAATAAACCATATTGTTTTTTACTTTTTTAATTTCTATTTTTTACGTTCAAAATAATCTGAATTGTTCATAAAAGTAATACTGTTATCAATAGCCCATTCTCCAACATGAAGATATTTTTCAACATATTTACGGATCTCCTCACTTTCAATTTTATCTGTCGCTGGTCTATTTTAGACTTTAGAATTTATCAGATTGTTTTAAAGCTTACTGTAGACCAGTATTACGCTTAATACCGGCAAGAACAGTGGATACAAGAACAGCATCGGCTGTAAAATGGAATAAACGGCCCCACATAATCAAATAGACACGAATACAATGGAAAGAGAGAAAGAGAGAGAAAGAAAAAAAATGAAGAGGGGAAACTATCTCTTTTTTATGTAATACAAGCTTCCCGAGTCACGTTCTTGATACCATTATGAAATTCCTTAATGACAAACAACAATGAGTCAGTTACTAAAGCTACCTCAGTTCAGGAAGTAAACTCACTCTATGTTTATACTGAATTGAAGCACTTTTATCTTCATACCCTATGATAGCATTGCGTAGATACTGACAACTTGACTTTTAATAGGTATCATTTTTGAAGGAGGGGAATGGCCTCACTTTGATAGCATGAATAGATATACTAATATCCTCTCTTTTTCTGCATTTATGTTTAGTGGACATTGTCTTTATCAGCCGCCTTTTGTAAACTCTGTTTCAACATCATATTTAGCCATACTATCCTCATCCCTCTCCTTTGTACAGGTCTATATAAAATAGACTCACTTCGTATTGTGAATCATTTTCCTATCATAACTAAACATTGTGTTATTCAAGTACACATCAGGTTGCTGGTTTACTTCATTCTCTCATGCATACACAGATCACATCAAGGGACTGCATAAATCTTTAGACTGGATTTCTTTCATAAGCCACCGCACATAAACACACTTTGTGTCTCTCTCATTAAGCATCACTTGATAAAACCTATTTGTTTACTATGACTCCCAACTTGAAAAGAAAAGCACCTGAAGAGGAAGACAAGCCTCTTAAGAGAGCCAACTCTACTGTTCAAGACCATGGTTCTGATGAAGAAGATTCTGATGACGGTCTTCAAGTAAGTCATGACATCAACACGTCGTATTTATGGTATAGGATATTGTCGATGTCGATTTCGACTTTTATAACCCTGATGATATTGATTATCATGCACTCAAGAAACTGCTAACACAACTCTTTTCTTCTGATGCCGAGTTACTTAACTTGGGTGACTTTGCTGATATTATGATTGAAGAGAATCAAGTCGGTACTACTGTGAAAGTGGATGATCAAAAGTCTGATCCTTATGCTATCTTGAGCATGATCAACATGACCCAACAAAAGGTAAACATACCTCTTTCTCTTCCTATTACTCAACAAGCCGACACGATAGGACAAAGAAGGCATTCGACAACTATGCACCTACCTTATCAACAAGTGTCCTAAAAAGAATGAATCCCTTTCAAAAGCTGTCAAGGACATTTTGTCTCTTGAGTCAGGAGATAAGCATGTAGGTTGGGTTGTTTCTGAACGATTTATCAACATGCCTGTTGAAATCATGGCTCCCATGTACACTATGCTTCAAGAAGAACTAAAGAAGGCTGTTGAAGAGGTAATGGATTGTGGTTAGTACGTGTAAACTGACGCATCTATAGAAAGAACCTTATGTGTTCGAGTGGTACATGTTCATTAGCAAGACATACAAAGAAGTAGTCTCAACAGTAGATGAAGATGAAGAACCTCAACAAAAGAAAGCCAAATCCAGTATGGATTCAGAAACCTTTTATTTCCAATCTGAAGATGAGATCATTGCCAAATACGCTGAGCACCAGTTTGATTTCAAGTTTACAAACAGTGACAAAGAACAAGCTGCTGATTCAAGACGTGCCTTTTCTGACTTTGGTATTGCTCCTTCTCGTAAACTGTTTCTTGTACACAAGTCTAAATACGATGATCTTGTGAATGAGATCATCAAGACATGTTCATCTACACCTTCTGCTTAAATTATGTAATAAACTCTTTATTAAGACATTTTGTATTCACACACTTCACGTACTTGACCATGAGTAGCAGATGATTTAAAGTCAATCACAATGTCAAGGTCTCTAGGATTGGATTTGTTGGGAGCACAACTCAATTCACCTTCAATAGTTTCACCCTTCTTTAAGGTCAAGGCTTCAGGTGTATAGAACACAGTTTGTTTCCAGTGAGTGTACTTGGAAAAGGGGCCCGTAGAGAATTCAACAGGCTTGTGACAATGGGTAAAAGCAATATCGAACCAGGCAATGAAAGCATGAGCATAATCATCGCGTTGAGCAGTAATCTTGAAGGGTGCCTTGAATGTCAAGTCTTCTTTGGTCACAGTGGCAATATCAATCTCTTTGAATGCGCATGTGTCACTCATCACACAACGAGGTTCAACAATATCAACCAAAGGTTCTTTAATCGCAATCTTCTTGATAGAAGAATAGTCAAAGCCATAGACATTATCCCAGTAACCAATCTTTTCTTCCTTGTAATCACCATCTTCAATGGCAGCAATGCACATCACAGCCTTGTCAGGGAAGATCATGCCTCCAGGAGCCAAGTACTTGTCTCTGGCAACAAGGACAGTGTCCAACATGGATTCGTATAACAAAAAGTAGCCCATCCATTCAGAAATGATGATATCGACCTTGTCTACAGGTAAAACGACTTCTTCCATTTTACCTTGAATAAGAGTCACTTTATCCTCTAAGCCATTATCTTTCACAATCACACGGGCTTGGTGAATAATGTTGGACATATCAATCTAGACAAGTATTAGGGAACACAGACAATAGAACAGACCATTCAACTTACACCATAGACATGTTTAGCACCAGATTTGGCAGCAAACATGGAAAGAATACCAGTACCACAACCTACATCAAGCACAATCTTGTCCTTGAATAGGTGCTTATTGTTATACATCGAGTTACGGTAAGACAAAGTACGGACTTCATCCTTTAACATTTCCTATACAAAAATAAACGTCAGTTGTGGATCTAGAGTGACTTGATCTATTGGATCTTACTTCATGAATACCTAGAAATAGAAAGATACACAGTCAGTCATAGTGTTTATATCTATAGACAAGAACTTACCAAAGTGAGCATAAGAATCAAAGTAGTAATCCTTGCTAGTCATACTAGCATCAGTGGTAGTAGGAGCAGACATGATTCAAGAAAGAAAGGGATAAAGCAAAAAAATTTTTGGACTGGCTTGACCCATTTTATAGAGAAACTCCGATGTCAATAGAATGAATTTGATTGGTTAAAGCAATTCAAGGCTTATTTTTTTTTATTATTATTATTAGAATTAACGACGATTGATACCATTTCTAACTTCAGGGAACTTTAAGGGCACAACCAGAGTAGCCTTCTTAGCCATCTTGTTGTTTGCTTCGCGACATTCTTCCGCACTGGCTTTGTCTACTTTACAACCCAAACTTCTAAATAATGTGGTGACTTTGGTAGGCTTAAGTAAAAGATCTTTACAGATATCATCAATCACAACACTATATCCAGATACTGAAAGAATGAGAGTAAACATGTATAGAAGGATCTTGTCAGTCATAAGAGGAGTACGGCTAAAGTATGTCAGTCTATCATATAAACCAATAAACAAACTTACTGGTTGGATTCAGTATATCTTTCAGCAAGACCATCAAGAACAATGCTTGAGGGACTCTTTAAAGCTGCCTCTACCTTTCTACGGTTCTTTAGATCTCCAGGACGAACACGAAGATAATATCCCATAAGCAAGTTAATGTACATCAGTGTACGAACACGCTTACGGTCTTTCTTTCCAGAAGATCCCAAGATAGCCATCAAACGATCATTGATAAACTTGGAATCATGATAAGCCAACAAACTCTTGACACCCTCCAAAGATGTCTGCTTCAAGAGTTCCTTATAATTCAAACTCTGGAGTTCTTCTTCAGTTACAATAGATGAAAGATCGTAGACTTGATCAGGAGATTCAGCTTCAAGACTGTGTTTGGGTACTGGTAAAGAAGTCTCCATGGATTTCTTGATTTCGTCTTTCTTTGGTATGCTGACAGTGGCCTTATTGATTTCGCTGTGTAAATGGTCCATTTCTTCCATGATATCATCACCCTTGACCATGTTTCTTTCATCGCTCTTTAATTGTTGCTTGGCCTTGGCTGTACCGAATGCTAGACCAAGCGCAGTACGAGCCATTTGACCACGAGCAATAGCACTAGGGTTTATGCTGTCGCTAGATAATGCCTTGACGGTACGTGACATCTTCATCACAGGCGCATTGCTGATACTCAATGTGTTCTTTTTTTTGTTGTACACACCGACAATATATCTAATTAGGATTAAAACGCATCCGTATGCCAATGGATCTGACTTACTTGCATTGGTTGTTACGGACAGCATCAGGACCAAAGTTGATGGCATTAAAACTGACTTTATCGGTCTCACCGGAAACAACACGGTGATCTGCTCTTTTGGAGGAGGAAGTATTCTCTGGTTTGTATGCTGTAAAGAGGGTGTCTGAAGGAGGCTTTGTGCCGGGAAATGTGGCTATATATATAAAAAAAAAGATATTAAAAAAAGAATCGAGCATGATGAATGGATTACCCAAATAAGGTGTTTCTACATCGGCTTGTTTCTCAATAATCTCAACCTTCACATGACGCGATGAATTGTGGTCGATAGAGTTCTTTCTTTTGCCCATAGTGATATTGTTTTAAAAAAAACGATTTTTTTAGTTTTTTTTCTGGGCACTTGTCAAAGTGGCTTACTAGCTTAATAGTCACAAAAAAGTCATGCAGAAAGAGAGGGAGGGAGGGGAAAGATCATTTGGGGCTAATTGGCATGGACTTTTGCATTGAAGATAGCTTGAGCTCAAGGCCATTGAAACCATATTTCTCATAAACGATTGTAGTTTGGTATTGACAAGAACAAATGAGAGTGTAATGTTCATATCAAATACAACAGCAAGAAATGCAGTGACTATCCGAAGCGACAATCAGTGAGAACTGCAGATTTAGTGTGAAACATCAGGCTTTATGGATAGCAGTTTATCATAATAGAATGACTCACACGTATGAGAATACCTTATGATAAATACTGTGGAATCATATACTCCATTGATGAAATGAAGAATATCTCATTATACAGGTGTGCCATAAGACTTGCAAAGTCTACATCAAATAAACCTGATTTGATCCAGAATTGGTTATAAAAATGAAGCCTAGCTTTGAAACTCGTCTTTAGGAAAGTAAGATACTTGATGAAGAATGAAAGTTATACAAGCTTAGGAATTGAATAAAAACAACACGTTAGATAATGATGAAATGTACGTACATTGTGAATCCCAATTGTTATGATATCTTTGCAAATCAAAATGTGAACAAGTATAAAAGGCTTTTCATTAAATTAAGCGAAAAGTAGTTGTGTGCATGGGTCAAATCAGAGGAGGAAAAGAAGAGTGAAGAAGTTATGAAGGTGCTTGTGCAGTGAAATATATCCATGAGTGGCTATATACAATATTTATGCAGAATACAAACAATTTAGTCGCATTAATGAACTGCTAATTCTCTCTGGCATAGCATACCATGCATTTGTGTAATTAATCAAGTTTTTTTTTTCTATCAAAAGATTGATTCTATGCATTTGTATCAATAAACCTTTTATCTATAAACAAACACATTCTTCATATGTTAACATTTCCTTTGGATTCAGAGGATTAGGTATCTCTTCCATTATATATTCTATTGAAATAACCTATTCAGTAGCACTTTGCCTGCTTGGATGATAGAGACACCAGGTAAACAACTGCTTCAACGATGAAACAGACAACAATTCATTCAAATTTTGTTCTTTTTCTTGAGCATATAAAGGTAGCATAAAACCTGTCTATACACGTATGAATGCTCTAAATACTTACAAACAGTGCGTACTAACATCTAAGGTATCTTTGATGTTGATTTCGACCAAAAAAGCGACTTGTAAGATTTGACCAAGAATTTCCCAAAAATAAAGAGTATTACTCATGGAAAAACTCGAGTTGACAACTCTTTGAGCTTCTTTTTGACGCTACAAGACAAAAAATAGAGTTATCGACAAGCTTAAATACTCAAAATAAGCGCAAGGCGCTGTAATTTTTGGTAAATGTGCTTGTTTGCTAATTGTACTATGAAAATAATGAGATATGAGCAAAAGACCTTGTAAACGTTTTTGTCTATTTGCTCAATATTTTAGCAGCAAAGTTGCTATGTTTTTTACATCAGTAGATTTAGAAAGCAGAAACCTCCGACTTTCATCACTGTGTCTTTGTGCAGTTGCAAGCAAAAGCTTGATTTTTGATGCGGCTGGATAAAGTATTGAGGTTGTTCTCTGGCTTCAATCTCTGATACATGACAATCTGGCTAAATCGAATGTTCTCGTATCTTATCTTGATTGAAAAGAGAAAAAGGAACATAAGTTTTGTAGCAAACAAAAAGAAAAGTTATGAATTTTTTTAGGGTCTGCTTTCAGGGAAAAGAACGATTGTTGGCCGATTTAAAATGACTATCTTTATGTGTATGCATGGATCTACGGACATAGATATGCTTCAAATGAAAAGAGATACGAAAAGAGATACGAAAAGAGATACGAAAAGAGATACGAAAAGAGATACGAAAAGAGACAATATCTTTTTTTATTTTTTTTTCTTATTTTTATTTTTATTCTGATATCCAAGTAAAAAACGCTTTGTGTTATTTCAGGTGGTTCCCAAAATGGAAAAGAAGGAGGTGAATGTCATAGTAGTCTAAAGTTCTCTGTTCCGAGGCAAATTCCTCATCTGTCCATGTCATAATTGCCACCTTTATCTGTTGTACAGCCGAGAACTCTGATTTGAACCCTATTGAAACTTTGTATGCACAAATGCAAGTGCGGTACCCACATTCTACAACAATTAGACAATGTGTTGAGCTATAAATTGGAACATGTTAATTCTCAATACATAATAGATATGTAGTCACTAATAGAGCTAATTTAGGCACAGTAGATATCGATTTTTTTGTTAATTTTACAATGAAGCATCGCCTTAACATGTATATACTTCCCAGTATCTTCCTTTTTTAATTTAATAAAATCATTTTTGGGTTCCCACTATAGATTAGATATGCATGCACACCCAATTATTAAGCAAACATACATACTCATATAGTAACGCTTTATGTCTTGTGTAACAGTTTTTGTTTACAAACACTCATGAAACGCAGTGTTTCTACTATCGCAGGTTATTTGGCTATTGATATAGCTCATTAATTGACCGCCAAAGAAAAACCCTTTTTAATCTCATACAATCCTTTGCTCTCTTCTTTCCTGCTATTTTAATCTTCTATTTGTCCCAAATTCCTATTATCTTATTATATTTTTATTGCTTAATCAATCCAATTTAAGTCTCTATCGGGAAAAATTACACATATGTTAGCTTCCTTTATCTTTCTCTCTATCTATATTCAAGGTGGAATTTATGAAAGACTATATGGCTAAAAGTAATAAAGCCAAACCAGAATCTCAAACGTATCCCAAGAAAATGATTCTGATATTGAAAAAATTAACAACAATGTTACTAAGGGTATCGCATTAAAGGGTTATTGGTCTGATGTTGTCAATGGTTTGAAAAAAGCGGGTCTTACTACAGAGGTAAAGTGCATAATATTTTTCTCAATTTATCAGCATGACTGATGGCTATCACTCTGTATATATTGTTTATGGTTTGTGCCTCATTGACTTTAAAAAATATGATTTAAAGAGATAGTTGGTAAGTGATGTAATAGTCATAATTTACTTTATCCTGTGTAATAACATAAATACATCTGTTAGCATGAAAAAAAAAAAAAGAAAATCGCGAAGTCGATTGTAATTGTGTCTTTTGATGCTGAGGCGGGTTTCTCAATGATCTGCATTTCTCTTCTAGTTTTTATCAGTTTTCTTCTCTGCTTTTGTATAGCTGCCATTTGTTTTTGTTTTGATCTTTTCTTATTTTGGTGATTTGACTAAAGCACTGTATTCATATCGTTAATTGTTTCTCAGGTTTATTCATAAAATCATGACCCTTAGATTCTCCAGGATTTCTTGGTCTTCGCCTTCGCTCCGAATCTGGTCTCAAAAGAGAAACGCATGCGTTCTCTTCCCACTCTTTTTTCTCCATTTGACTTTTTCAAATTCACCTCAACAACAAACTTGTTAAGCTCACACTGTGTAGAATATGTCAGTACACTGCCGCTATAACTAATTTTATTTTTTATTTATTTATTTATTTTTTTTTTGTAATCAATACTTTAACAGAGTAAAAAGCTTCAACAATTGAGGGCAAATTTACCAACTGGTGCATTCTTTCAATCAGGCTGAAGTCCTTAATTGCTGTAGGCACATAAACTCCATCAGCAAGAATCATCATTTGGAAAAGAGTACAATGGAGCCCTATTAGAATTCTTATGTTAAATAGCTGATTTCTCTATTTTGGACATGACAGACAAACGAGGACATACCTTCAACTAAAAGACCAAGAGACAAAGGGTTTGTCACACCTAAACAAAGTTGCTGGTCCGCAGAGTTTTTCATATGCTTCATCAGCTTTACAAAGTCGCTTTCGGGCTGGCATTTGCTTACTGTGTCTGGTCTTTTGACTTCAACAAAGAAAAAATAGCGTTCTTTTCCCTTGACCTTTGTGCCGATCATGAAACCAGGCTTTTTGCCATTTTCGTTCGGTTTGTCAATGCTATTCATGAGTATTTAATATAGGTGAATTTGCACTCACATTGCATAGCAGAGGTCATCAGTTTCATCTTGAAGCAAGAGTCTTCGAATTGCTGGCATTATATGCTTTTCAGTAAAGGATGCTTCCGAATTATATGCAATACAAGCACGGAATCGACTTTCGTATTCAGCTAGGTCTTTAACCATGCTCATCATGTCTTCTTCTTCTTTCTCATCAGCTTTCTATCTACAAATATTGTTAGAGAGAGCTGTTTTTCTGAAATGACTCAACCTAAGTCAGCCATGTTCTTGCAATACACCACTGCTTTAGAAGGTGTACGGCTTAACTTGGACTTCATGCGGATGGCCATTGACCTGAAAGCTTTACGAGTGCCGCTTTCAAAGTATTTTGCAACACATCTTTCATCATTAAACACATTGAAGGGGAAGATATGAGAGAGAGCGCTAAAGTGAGGATATTTGGTCCGATTGAAGTCAATATGTGAAAAGAAAGAGGAAGTATAGCTTTTGGATACTTACAGGATTCTTAAGCAGTTGATGTCATTATTTTTTTAGACCTCGCTTATTGAGCGCTCTCTGAATCTCTTAAAAGCCTTAGTCAAGAAACTGTGGTCAGACAAAAACAGGTTAAATGGCGCTTCAGGGCGCCATAGCTCCTTATCAAATACGCATTTGTAATGGTATCACCAGAGCACAGTTGAACCATTTCCTAATATCTTCAATGTCTTTGAGGGCAGGAGCTTATTGGATTCATCTGACAGCAAAGTAAATACAAACCACAAATCAATGGGAGTTTGAAGTTGAATAAAAGTCAATATTTGTTGCCAGTATGTCCATCTTACTGGGCAATCCACAAAAAGGTGAAAGATGCTTTCATCTACCATACCACAAATGTGACAATCAGACGAAGTAAACGTGGTAGCCCTCCAAGAGTTGACCTTGCCTCCATCGGCAACGCTATCATGCAGGAGTCGCCACCAGGGAGTAAAAGCTTTTGTGTTCATTTCCAGTGACTAAAAGAGCTTCCATTGTGAAGATGATAGGCGCCGGGTGGAAGGTGTACGGTAAGGAATATAAATTTCAACCGGGTCGCGTTGATCATTCCAATATCTTCTAACAGATCCAGAAGTAGATTCAAGGACTATCTTGGGTTGTCGACAGCCGGAAGGCAGCGCCTAATGGTCAAGCGATGGAAGATAACTGTTTCTATAAGGATATTGTGACGAAGAAGGCACCACAGGGCTAGGAGGGAAAAAGTTACATTTAGCTTGAAGTGCTGTATGCAAAATGCAACTGATAGTGTCAGATAGAGAAAGAGAAAAAAAGGGCATCAAAAATCCGCATCAGAGGTACGCCTGTACTTGATAAATGAGCGATGAGCTTCAAACGGACCAGTGGTAACATTGTAACACAATATATCTGACACTAAGAAGGGCCATTTGACGGTGGGGAGTGGTAGTGCAGAGTTTGTTTTGGCTTGTAATACTAACAATACGGACAAGTCCAAAAACCAATGTGCAGGCCATGATGAAGACAGCTCCAAAGGTGGCAAACGCTCCAGGAACCTCAGTAGTTGCAGCATGGGTGTAAAAAGCTTGAAAATTGTACGAAACAGGGTGGGAGCTACCAGTAGAGGCAAAATTGAAGCATGGTCGGTATTGATTTGTACAAAACGAACCAACTAAGGGGTTAGGAAATCGGTACTAACATGGCCTTGGGACAATTTTTTCAAGTAAATCATATGAAGTATCATAGCCTGATTTTCCAAATCGACTAATACAACACCACCTTGTTTTTTTTGGCTTGCATATCGCTGCCCAATTAGGCTTAGGCCAAAACGACATAGCTAAATCTTGGATTAGTCGTTTGATTGATGTTAGCCAAAGGAAAGGTTAATACAATGACTCGCATAATATGCCATAATTGACTCAGGATTAGCACGTCGACCGCCACAGCCATACCACGTACAGATAGATACATTTTCCTTAGATTGTCTGTGTGCTGAAAGATTTTCAAACGCAATTCCTTAAGAAAGGCGTCAAATTGAGCAGGACTGGAATAGAGAGGATAGACTAACAAAGTAGCAGCAGTATCGGATGTTTGATCATGCCATGATATACCAAATGAATTGCAGATCGACATCGATTCTGTAAAAGGGAGGCCACTCAAAGAGACCATCATCGTTTTAGAAGCATTCGTCTTCGCATTGGAGGCTTTGGAGTATAAATCAAGAATGTGTAAAAGGTGAGGCCATTCAGCAGGCAAGGACAAAAAAATTTTCAAGTCATTAGCATAAGCAAGTAATTTGATGGGAGTCGAAGAAACTAAACGATCAGACATATTCAAAGGAGCAAGTGGGTGTCGATTGCCTATGCCCAAGGTCGGTATGAAGAGGCCTTTAATACTCGAATTGGCTAGAATATATTGCAATAAAGGCTCATAGGCTAAATTGGATAGCAAAGGTGAGAGAGGATCACCTCGACGTATCCCACATGCTTGTAAAATTGAAGTGCCAGTCATTTATAGAAATTTTGCTTTTGGTCTCAAAAAACAATCTAGTCAGGCTGTCAATGAAGACGAATAGAAAATCAAATCTTTCAAGGACTAGTTGCAGATATTGCGAGTGTACTCGATCATAGGTTTTCTTAGCGTCCAACAGAACTGCAACCTCAGGATCCAAAGACTTGTTTTCACGAAGAGTTGTCATGAGCATATGGTTAATTCATCCATTATCTGATATTAGTCGGCCAGGAAAAAAACAGTTTGATATGGATTTATCAGTTTGGGCAACAGCTCATTGAGACGATTGGCCATTAGCTTGGTAAAAATCTTAGCATCTACATTTATCAGTGATAAAAGTCGCCAATTCTTCAGTAGAGTAATATTTCCTTTTTTGAACAGCAATATCAATCTTGTATGTTGCCAAGAGGATGGAAAAGATCCATGAAAAGCATTCGGTATGATAGTCAATAGAAGATATGAAAATTTCTTAGATCGAGGGCAAAGATACTTGTACAATTCGAATGGCAGACCATCGAGCCCTGGGCTTTTAGATAGAGGACTATGTTTAATAATGGTCATTAGCTCGTCTATTGTTGGCGGCTTCATGAGTGACTCTTGGTCGATAGCAGAAAGAGTACTAACTCTGGGAGTTGATTGGACCAACTGAGTAGCTGCATTGTAATCTATTGGGTCTGGCGTATACAAGGAGGAATAGAACTGATGAGCTTCTTGCAGTATATCCTCTATGTCGTGAACCATTGTACCACTGTCAGATTTTTGTAAACATGTAATTGTTTGTTGTGTTTGGTGAGATTTCAAAACTTGAAAGAAATACTTATTGCTTATTTCCTCTTGTGTATGCCAGCGAGTGACTGTTCGCAACATTGGGCAGCTTCCGTATCAGTCAATTGCTCAATCTGTTTGTCAATGACAGATAGTTCATTCAACAAGGATGGAGTAGAGTTCTCACTAGTAACCATCGGCTTAGCTGATAAGAGTTGTGTTCGTCTGTTCTGGGGTTGTTTCAGTAGGTGCTTGGATCTAACGTTTGAATTGCTCGAATACGATTGTGCTAATTTGCGTATCATAAATTTCAAAGCCTCCCTTGTCCTCTGTCGCAGAGTGGCTAGCTCTGGATCAAAATTCAATTGAGTTGAATCGGGAGGTAGAGGGTTATTCGTATCTGGAATCGCAAGTTGAAGCATATCTACATTTGTTTGAGAGAAAAAAGTGGTCATCGTACAATCCAATAACTTGAGAAAGTGGTTGTTAAGCAGCAGAGTTGAATTGAAGCACCAAGGTCCAAGGCCAATAGATATCTTTGACACCAATAAATCGACAGTCAGAAGACTACGATCAGTCCAAGCATAAGGGAAATGGTGGAGCTGCGAATTAGTGATTTTTGGTGGTTGACTAGTATTTACATAAACATAGTCGATTGTGATGCAAATGTTTATGTGAGAGGCACTAGTAAAAGTAGGCAAACCTTCTGGGAAACAATCTGAGTAATTGATCCTTAAGCCATCAAACCATGGAGCAACGAGTGGCTTCCTGACAAAGGTGTGATCGCGGAAGTTGGTGTTAAAATCCCCTAGGATAAAAGTTAGTTAAGCATCTTCATAAGATGGTTGGAAAAAAGGGATCTCTGTGACTAAAGAGTCGTAGAAGAGGCCGAGCTTCCTCCACCGCTGACGCATATAAGTTAACCACAGAACAAACAAAGTTGTCGTTCCAGTCATATATATTCGCAAAAAATACACTGTCCATCTAGATAAGTAGTTGCATCTCTGATGGAAAGCTGCGCATTAATGTAAACTATAGCGCAATATTGAGTAACATAGATAGAGAATCGAGGAAAAATGAAATTGGTGAACTTGTGAATATGTGAATCAGTGACTGGGGAGCCTCTACTGGCAAAATCATCTTGAATACAAAGAATATCGATTTTTAAGGAGCGTGATTTGAGGTGTGATAGAAACTCCTTACGGAGTTTTGGTGATGACTCTTTGAAAATGCTGTGAACATTTAAAGAGCCTATTCTAATGTGGTTACTATTTATTAGGCCTCTGGCCATCAGCACTGGGTTTGTGTGCCGCATCTGACTCAGTACTGTTGCGCTCTCCTTCAAGTGAATCCAACTCCATTCCTCGAGACTCGATCTCCTCCTCAATGTGTTCCTCCTCTTCTGTATGATGATCCTGAGAAACAACCACAGGAGAATCTAAATTCATATGAACTGCCACTGTATCTGAGGCCTATTGAGAGCGAGACGAACCATCAGGACGGAAAACCGGCACAGACGGTTTCTCTCCAAGGGCTAGTTGTGCCTTGCGACGGGCTGCCTTATCCTTGACTGCTTCATATTCAGCCAACAAGGTAGAATCATCTTTCGAGCCTGAGTCTGCCTTGCAAAATCGTCGAGTATAACCCTTATCGTCACATTCAAAACACGCCTGTGCCTGCAAAGTAGGGCAATTGCGACGAACATGTCCTGCTTGGCGACAGTGGTAACAAATTGGTGCAGCACCCTTAAAAGAGGCTGGCGCATGCTTATACCAGTAACTGAGGTGCAGTTGTTGAGTCAAATCCTTAGTATCGATGGCGTTGCCAACCTTATCCTAGGAGTGTAGCCACAGATGCTGGAATCCTTCCACTTTGCCAAAAGTGTCCTGAATTGCTTTATAAGCCGCAATACGGTTGACAAAAATACCAGGAGGGAAGAAGAACAAAACAGGGCCGGTAGTAAGTGGTTGACTTACAATACTAGCTGCTTTACGATTCGACATCTCGGATTCAAAACTATGCGATTTGAAGATGACTTCAGGCATACACTTGATTGCGTTGTTTTGGGAGCTGATTCTCGGTGTATGAGGAATGCGCGGTCTGTTGACAATCTCGGCGACCTTATTTCAAGATATTTTGCCAGATACTGTCATAGCTGGATAAAATAAAGAATTTTGTTTTAAGGTTTTACATGATGAACAATGAAGATAGTGTACAGAAGCATCTGATATATGATGAATAATGAATGTCATGTAAAGAGGAGGTCATGTATTTCAAATTCCGTTCTCCGTTTCTTTTCCTTGCGTCCAACCTGCTGCTCTCTGCTCTGACGATCGTTCTTTTTCTCTTTATTAATACTGGCAATGACTGTTTTATCAATTTGGTAGGAAGAAGAAGTCGAAACGAAAATTTTGGCAAAAAGACTCCAGGTACACAAAAGTAACGCATAGTGTTGTAGTGTGTTGAAGACAGCATCATGTAAAGCGAGAAAGTGTACTATGCTCTCAATAAAAGAACCAGTAACTTAAAGGAGTGGGGCCCACAAACATAAGTAATGGGAGACTGTCCAAAAATTTGACATCTATATTGCAAATTCAAACGAATTGGCCACATTTAAACATGTACCTTTTTGCCTGAACAAAAGTTGGTCAGGTTTTCGAATAATAACTGGACACCCGAAAATAACTAAGCTTTTATTCTCAAATGCACAAGCACCAAAAACAAAAACACGCAAACGTACTGTTAAAGTAAAGAATGATTGTCTTCAGTCATCCTTAAACGTCTATCTCAATCTTTCTATATGCGAAACTCATTTCCTTTTTGAAAAGGGTAATCAATTTTCTTTAAAACCCGACAACAAATGGATCATCTTTCTTTTCCCTTTTTTTTTTATTCTTCCTCTCTTTCTTCTCTTATACATTTTAGACTATGGCCAAGGTACTTAGCATGCGCTTAATGCTAGAACTCATTGTGTTTGTCTTTATATACGTATAGAAACTATTGGGAAAGAAAGGCGAAAAGAAAATTATTAAAGCCAACCGTCCTGCACGAGCAGACTGGAAGGAAGGCGTAAAAAAGAAGCAAGTGGGTGTGTCTGATATGACCTTGCTTACGAAAATTACAAATGAGGCTATCAATGAAAATTTGCAAAAGAGATGGCAGAATGCCGAGATTTATGTAAACTTGTCTCCTTTTCTTGATGGGCACTTTTTAACTCATTTCTATATGTAGACTTATATTGGTCATGTATTGATTAGTGTTAACCCTTTTCGAGATTTGGGTATTTATACAGATGATGTTCTTACAAGTTACAAGGGCAAGAATTTACTTGAAGTATGATATCATTTTTGGAGACAAAAAAAAACCAGTAGCTGATATACTATATTTAGATGCCTCCTCATGTTTTTGCTATTGCTGAATCTAGTTATCACCATATGAATAGTTACAAGGAGAACCAATGTATCATTATCAGTGGTGAATCGGGTGCTGGTAAGACAGAAGCTGCCAAGAGAATTATGCAGTATATTGCCGCTGTTTCCGGTGACGGACAAAATTCGTCCATTAAAGAAATTAAGGAAATGGTCTTGGCAACCAATCCTTTGCTTGAAAGTTTTGGGTGTGCAAAAACACTGAGAAACGATAATTCAAGTCGCCATGTAAGCCAAACTTGAGTAAACAAACATAGACATATTTATGGGTTATGATAGGGTAAATATTTGGAAATCCAATTCAATGCTCAAGGTGAGCCTGTGGGTGCTGTCATTACAAACTATTTGTTGGAAAAGGTAAGCATATAGAAACTATACGTTGATTGACGCATTTCTTAGAACCGTGTGGTTGGTCAAATTGAAAATGAAAGAAACTTTCATATCTTTTATCAACTCACAAAGGGTGCTACCCCTGAATATCAACGTAAGGTTTCTCCACGCTTCATTGTTTGTTGTTGACGTTTTTCTATATAGAATCCTTTGGTCTCCAAGGACCTGAAAGCTTTTTATATACAAGTAGAAGTGGTTGTTTGGATGTACCTGGTATTAATGATGTTCAAGACTTTCAAGATACTTTGGTAAGGACAAATAGGTCATTATACGGTTTTGTTTAACTGTGTATAGAATGCTATGAATGTGATTGGTTTAGAGAAGCATGAACAAGATGAAATCTTTAAGATGTTGGCTACCATCTTGTGGTTGGGTAATGTTGTATTTGTAGAAGATGATAATGGGAATGCCATGATTTCAGATGCTGATGGTAAAAGTGCACGATACAGGATATACATTTACTTATATTGTGTATAGTGGCCAATTTCATTGCTTATCTTATGGAAGTGGATGCTGAATCACTCTCAAAAGCGCTTACAAGCCGTGTTATGGAAACAACGCGTGGAGGCAGAAGAGGCAGTGTGTACGAAGTGCCTCTCAATATTGTTCAGGCAACAGCTGTACGTGATGCCCTTTCTAAAGCCATTTATGAACGCCTGTTTGAATGGATTGTGACCCGTGTCAATGTGTCGCTTCAAGCACGTACTGCTCATCAATATACCATTGGTGTCTTGGATATTTATGGTTTCGAAATCTTTGAGGAAAACAGCTTTGAACAACTCTGTATCAACTATGTGAACGAAAAACTCCAACAAATCTTTATTGAATTGACATTAAAGGCAGAACAAGAAGAATATGTGCGTGAACAAATTCAATGGACACCCATCAAGTTCTTTAACAACAAGATTGTGTGTGATCTTATTGAAGAAAAGCGACCTCCAGGATTATTTGCTGCTCTCAATGATGCTTGTGCTACTGCTCATGCTGACTCAGGTGCTGCTGATAATTCGTTTGTGCAACGTCTTGGTTTCTTGTCTTCTAATCCTCACTTTGAATCCAGAGGCTCCAAGTTTTTAATTCGTCATTATGCCGGTGATGTGCTTTATAATGTAGAAGGTATGACTGACAAGAACAAGGACTCTCTCTTAAAAGATTTGCTCAACTTGGCCACTGGTTCTTCCAACCAGTTCATTGCCAACACTTTGTTCCCTGAACGTATTGACCCTAATTCCAAAAAGAGACCTCCTACTGCTGGTGACAAAATCAAGATGTCATGTAACACTTTGGTGACCAAACTGATGCAATGCCATCCCAGTTATATTCGTACTATCAAATCCAACGATAACCGTAGTCCTTCTGAATATGATGAGAAGCGTGTATTGCATCAAATTCAATATTTGGGTCTCTGTGAAAATATCCGTGTACGTCGTGCTGGTTTTGCGTACAGAACAACATTTGAAAAGTTTGTGGAGCGATTCTATCTATTGTGTCCTACAACCGGCTATGCCGGTGAATATATCTGGAACAGAGATGCACAAAGCGGTGCTCTAGAAATCCTAAAGCACAACAATATTCCTGCGGAAGAATGGCAATTGGGTACGACCAAGGTCTTTATTCGTCATCCTGAGACCATTTTTGCCTTGGAGAATCTGCGTGATAAGTATTGGCACAACATGGCCACTCGTATCCAACGTGCCTGGAGAGCTTATGTGAGATACAAGATTGAATGTGCTAAAAAGATTCAACGCTTCTGGAAGCAAAACAAGTACAATATTGGGTATCTTCAATTACGCGAATATGGACATCAAATCCTTGATGGTCAAAAGGAAAGACGTCGATACTCTCTTGTCAGTATGAGACGATTCACAGGTGATTATTTGGATATCAAACAAGGCTCTGGTCTATCCACCATGATTCGAAATGCTATTAGCTTTAAGGGTAATGAAGATGTCGTGTTTAGTATGCGTGGTAATACTCTGGTTCCTCGTGCCATGCGTTCTAGTGTGCCCAGTCCAAGAACATTTGTTTTAGTAAGTCAATCAGAATCAAGAAGTATATATTTATCATCCCCTAGACAAATCAAAACCTACATATTGTAGTGGCCACTAAGAACGGTAAGGTATTGTCCATGGTCGATGAGAAGGTTATTAGCTTGAATGTGATAAGTGGTATCAGTGTTTCTACACTTCAAGATGACTGGGTTGTGCTGCATGTAGACTCTTCCCCTGATGGCGATACAATCCTCTCTTGTACTTTTAAGACTGAAATGTTGGCACATATCTTACAACAAACAGGCGGTCGTATCAAGGTTTCAGTGGTGCCTCAGATTCAATACAAAAAGAAGGGAGGAAAAGCAGTGACTATGAAGTTTGTCAAAGATGAAGCTGCCAAGGGTGATGGTGTTTATAAAAGTCATGTTGTCAAAATTTGTTCAGGTTCTCCAGCTGGAAGTCGTATGTAGAGTCTATCTATAATGTCTTTGTACTCAATTTTTTTATAGAATCTGATCCTCCTTGTGCTGTCAAAGCAAGACCCACACAAAGTACAACTCGATCTGCACCTCGTAATAATGGACGTCAGAAACCTGCACCCAATACAACGCATGCTGCACCTACTGCAAACCGCTCTGTACCACCACCACCTGCTCCTCCAGTCGCATCCAACGCTTCTCCACCTCCACCAGCTACACCTTCTTTGCCTCAATACAAAGCTATCTATCCTTTCCAATCGCAAGAAGCAGGTGAAATTGCGTTCGTCAAGGACGATATTTTAGAAATCTTAGAAAAGGACGAGAATGGATGGTGGTTAGCACGTCATAATGGGATTGAAGGTTGGGTACCTAGTAATTATCTGGAAGAGTATGTGCCACCTGTTGTCAGATCCACACCTCCTCCCCCTCCTCCTCCAGCACGAAGAGCACCTCCTTCTGCACCCGCTGCACCCGCTGCACCCGTTGTACCCGCTGCGCCCGTTGTACCCGCTGCACCAAGTGCCAGTGTACCTGCTTGGAAACAAGAGTTAGAAGCACGTAAATCGGCTGCTGCCAATAATCCTAGTGCGCCTGTGCCTGTTGCAAGAAGAGTACCACCTGCACCAGGACCTAAGCCTGTCATTCCTGCCAAACCTAGTAGCATGAGTAAACCTGCTATTCCTTCTCGACCTGGTGGAGCACCTACACCAGCTCCCAGAGCACCTCCTCGCAATGCCAATGGCACGCCTTCTAATGCGGCTGCTTCTTTAGCTGATGCTGTAAGTAGAATTGCTTTTATCTATTTCATACTCATCTTTTATTATAGCTCCGTGCACGTAGACAACAAGCACCTTCCCATCATGATGATGATGACGACGAGTGGTAAAAAAAACAAATAAGGAATAAATTAGAGAAATGTACACATTCTTTATTTGTTTTGTTTATACAGGGCTAAAGGCACATCATCGTCTTTTCTATTCTCTTCATCACTTTCATCTTCCTCTTCCTCTTCGTCTTCAGAAGAGGAACTATCACTGATTTGCTGTCTATTTGGACGTTGATCAAGCTTTGTATATAAACTTTTTGTAGCCTGTGTGGGTGCTTTGATAGGTCGAGCATTCTTTTGAGGATTGAGATAATTATCAGGTACAACAAACCCTGTGGGTTCTGTCTTGAGACCATTTGTAGGTGACATGAATGTGGTATGTTTAGCACCTTTTTTAGGTTGAGGGGCAGAAAGAGGTCTCTTGACCAGTCGCTTCTTTCTCTTTCTCTCTTCACTCGGATATGGATTTGTATTGTTGTTGTTGTTGTTGTTGTTGTTGTTGTTGGCAATGACTGATAGATACCAAAACATTTGATTTGAAATTAAGACTTGTTCATGAAGTGGTCGACGAGGATTGGCTAATTTGATATGTGATAGTTTATAAATCGCTCGTTCAACATGTAAAGGTAATCGTGTCATGTACATTGGATTCAATTGAAGATCTTGTTTATCGTCTTTTTGTGCAAGATTGGCTGTTGCTTGGTCAATGTTAGGAGTATAGTTGTGCTTTGGTTTTCGAGAAAACAGAGAAGAAAGTGTGAATCGTCGGTTTGTAGTGGATGGTTCTGCAGGTATTTTGGTATCTTCTTGTTCATGTGTAGTAACGGGATCAACCTTGTTCTTTTTTGATTTTTCATCTGACCAAAATGCCCAAGACCAAGCACTTTTACGATGTGGTGTAGATGTAGATACAGACCGTGTGATGACAAAAGGTGTAGGAGGAGAAGTATCTTCTTCTTCTGGAATAGGTTCTCTTGTCGCAATGCTTAAATCGCGCACTTGTTGAACTGGTTCTTCTATAACTAGATTATCAGATAGTGTAATGCCACCCTCAGTGACATGATAGTCTGATTCACTCTTTCGTTTCACTAAAGGAGGTCGTTGTTGATTGACTGGTGTGACAGACGAATTTCTTTTGAAATTAGTTCGTGCACCTCTTCTTAATAAAGGTCGATCGCCTTTTGGAACAAGTGCTCTTGATTGATCCAAGGGGGATGAATTTCGATCAAATATCAAGAAATCAGGCACATTTCGATATTCTATAGGCTATAAGCTACAGAGTTATTTTTATGTGACATTTACCTCCTGCAGGCGGAAACTGTAGACTCACACTTCTTCTGAGCGTCTTGTTTTTCCTTGCTTCTTCTTCCATGAGTTTCTGTTGGTCATTCGCTGTAAAATACTCGGATAAAATAGACTGTCTTCGTCTTGTGCTCTTTCTTCGAATCATGAGTCCATGTGCCTCTACGTATTTCTCGAATTCAGTAGGTGCAATTTCTGGATGTTGTGATGCTGGCACCCTATCAATATGGTTATTTATCTATCACACTTGTGCGATAGACTTACCAAAACAAATGAGAAGGGTTTGAAGTAAGTATATTGATCACTTCTTTTCGTACTTGTTCTTTTTCTGCAGAATGACTGAGCTGTCGAGTCAAGGAAGGTGCGCGAGTGAGTCCAGTATGATGTTCTGTCTCTGTTGTGGTGGGTGTAGGTGGTGTGTGTTCTTGTTTGAGTTCTTGTGGTTCTTTTAGCAAGTCCCACTCATCTTGTTGAGAAGGGCTGATTTCAGGTAAAGCGATCAAGGTATTAGTAGACATAAGGGAAAAAAAGAAGCAGATAGAAAAGAAAATAGGTATATATTGATATTTAAAAAAAGGAGGGGGAAGTTGACTTTCTTATGCAAATTGTATGTATGTAGTGTATTCAGGGGTAGTTTATAACATATAGAAAATAAAAAAGAACAATGATGATCAGTACAAAACAAAAAAAAAGAGTGAAAAAGGGAAGGAAGCAAATAGAAATCGAGGTTTTTTTTATGGTTCTACAATACGCTTTTTTTGGTCATGATAGGAGAAATCATATACGCACAGGTAAGAATTTCACATATAAATTCGATCCTTAGTCTATGACTACAGCTTTAATAATTTCGGTCATTCAATATCACACTAAAAAAACTGCAAATAGAATTATGTACGTTTATTCACACTAGAGAATATAAGGCAAGAACAATATGGATATTAGTTGTTTTTATTGTTCTCTTTTTTTTTTTTTAAGTAGAAGCCCAATGCACAATCATGCTTATCCAACATGAATGAAAATATGACATAGTTAAATGTCCGCATCTGCAAGAAGGTATGAAGGGTGTTGTCTAAGGGTCAACATTGAATATCCTTGATTCTTGTTTATGCTATTAGCAATGTATTGGTCATAATGACTGTTGCGTGTTTCAACACTTGTCTTATGAGGTCCTTTTTGAGTTTGTCCTTTTCTCAATGTCCTTTTTATCAATTGTTTAGTATACCAAACACCGCTTCTGATATCAGCATGAATGGTTACACGCGCCAAACAGCCTAATGCTGAGTTGATCTATAATTGTCAATGTAAATTAATATCATAAAAAAGGAGCTAAACAATTATCATAGACTTGAAACACTAGGATTTTATTCAAATGGTCAAAATCAATTATGTCTGTAAATATATATATATATATTGTCAAGCAGTAATTTGATTTCCTTTGTATGCGTTGATGGTGTTTGGTATTCTTGTCTCTTTCTCTCTATATAAACCCTATGATCCTCATTAGCTATATTATATGAGTCATATATAATGATGAATGACAATATCGTACAGCCATAACTATAGCATTCATGGTATTTGATTAAGAACACTTTGCTTTAATTCAATAAGAAGTATTGTCATTGCGAGGACTCTTCAAATCTTTAGAATGGACTTATGTACGCTAATGAATAAGGTTGAAACATGACAATATTTTTGATAAAGTATTTTTAACTTTTTCAAATAATGGTTCTAATATGAAAACTGTAACTTAAAGACTAGCTCAGAATAGCACTAATATCCATTTGAAGAATCTTTGAAGGGTTTTGCCAATTGATCAAACCCCAAAATGACTTTCTATAAAAGATGGAGAGGTTCTTTAATCAAAAGCTCATTTTTAGTTTGTATAGAGCAAATGTGTCAAAAAGTAGCATTTATGCAATTAGAAATTTTCTGTATGCCAAATTTTTACATGCTGAAATGAGTAAAGATTAACCGATACAGTCACGAAGCATAGCAAGATAGAAAAAAAAAACTATCAAAATATGTACTAATTACGTCGTTTTCTTGTTTTCTTTCTGTTTGTTATGTTGAGACGTACTTTTTTGTTATTTATACTATTTTATGCTGCATTTGTGTTTGCATCAGACGGTGATGAAAAACCAGTTTTCGTACATTGTGTCAAAAAATGCATCAATTCAACATGCCCAACACAACTTGACTTTACTTTACGTCTATTAAAATGGACATGTAGGGTAGTGTATTTACATAAAATACATAATAACATATTCTATAGGTCCTGAAAACTGTCGTTATACATGCATGCAGAACATCACTGATAAGGCTATTGCAAACCATACCACTGTTTACCAATACTATGGTAAATGGCCATTTTATCGCTTTTTCGGCATTCAAGAGCCCGCTTCCGTTTTATTCTCAATTGGTAACGGACTTGTTCAAGGCTATTATTTTTTCCAGCTTCACCGCCATACACCCTCCAATTATGCTTTGCGGCCGTTGCTCCTCTTGTATACACTTATTGGTATGAATGCTTGGGTCTGGAGCACCATATTTCACTCAAGAGACAAAAGACTGACTACCTTGATGGACTATTTCTCTGCTGCTCTTTATGTTTTGTATTCATTGTATTTTGCCATAGTCCGTGTATGTCGGATTCAGAAAAAGAGCACAATGATTGCGCTGGCCGTAGTCTGTAGTTGCTTTTACGCAGCCCATATTATCTACTTGACCTGTTATGAATTTGACTACGTATACAATATGATGGCCAATGTGATGGTGGGTACACTGCAAGTCCTTGTTTGGGTATGCTGGTATGTGCTACAGAAATTAGACTGTCATGCAATTGATCGTCCTTATGCTTATCTGGCTGTCATGTCAGGTATGGGTGTTTCACTTGCGCTGAGTCTTGAACTGTTTGATTTCCCTCCTTTATGGCGTGTTTTTGATGCCCACAGTCTATGGCATTTTTCTACTATTCCATTGACTATTATTTGGTATCGGTTTTTGATGGAGGATATGACATTTGAAACAAGTGGTAAACCTTATCAAATGAAACTCTTGCCATCCTAAACATGATCAAATGAACTTTTTCACACACACACACACATACACATACGTAGAGATTTTAAACATAAACATAATTTTTAATAATAAAATAATCGCTTTAAGCAAGATCAAGAGGGCTACCAGTGGCACGACTACCAGCACCGGTGCCTTCTCTGTAAAGTTGTTGATCCCACAAATAGACACCAAGACCTTCACCGACACGATTGAGTTGTGTAACCATATCAGCCAACTTCTTAATAGCTTCAACTTGTTCACCCAAATAATAAGCTTCAATAAAGTCACACATTTGTGGATCGTTTTGGCTATCGGCAATCTTGTGCAAGTTTAAGAGAGACTTGTTGACATCTAAAGAACATGTTAGTCTACACCAAAAAGAAAAAATAGCTTGCCTTTTTCAAGTTGAAGGGCGGATTCAACAGCATTTTTAGCAGACTTCCAATCAGTCTAGACACAAAAAAAGTTGTCAGATACATGAAATCTCACGCATGTGCACGCGTAGTCAATCATTGGATGCTTACCTCAGGAGCTTGCAAAGCGCGCAAGACAACTCTTCCACCTCTGGTGTTGACATAGTCTAAAAGGTAACTTGATCAATCACCATGAAAACAAAAAAAGGCTTACTTACCAATTAAACGTTGAGCATGTTCTCTTTCTTCTTTAGCAGATTCGCGAAAGTATTTTTCCAAACCTAGATCATATCAGAATACTGCGTAACAGAATGATCAATATACCTGGTAACGCAACAGAAGAATGTTGAGCCCAAGCAGCCATGGACAAATAGACTTGAGAGGCTTGCAGTTCAGTATTGATTTGTTGGTTCAATCCTTCTTCAGATTGAGTAGCAAAGTTTTGTTTGGCAAGAGACATTTTTTAAAGAATAAAAAGATGGGGGGTGACAATTAATATAAGAAGTTTTGTAAAGAAAAAAAAGCAAAAAAATAAAAACTGAGATTTTATAGTTGAAGGTTTTTAGCATTATTGTGTTTTGTTACACACATGTTCACACTACTATACAGACGCGTTGGTAATACGTATTGAATTTTATTTTTCATGCAACTTGAAAGGCGGTCAACTTCGGTAGCTATGTCCGGCCTTAAAGTGACATTAGTAAAAAAAAAAAAAAAAAAAAAAAATTAAAATGTCAAAAAAAAATGCTTTCTTCATTTTCCAATTTTTGGATAGGATTTCGTTTGCCTTTCTGTGTAGTTTGAAAAAGCGCTTTTGTCAAACATCAATTGTTTGTTGTTCTTGCAACAATCGCCGCTCCTAACGTAACACATACTCGTAATTGTTCCAGGTATCTTTTTTATGAAAACAAAGCTGTGATATAAGTTTTATAACGAATGCTGCAGGACAAGCGATTCAGCTTGAAAAGACAAAGGATACGATTTGATTTCTTTTTCTTTTCTTTTTTTTTAGAAAGATGCATGATGCGGGCTGAATAGTCTCTGTTTAAAATGTTGGGAATTGATTATTTGACATGTCCTCTTAATTTCTCAGGTTTTTAGATGAGTCAGAATTTTCATAATCATCCAGGAAAACCTTGTTTGAAAAGTGTAAAAGAGACAATAGAAATCAGAAGACAAGCGATTCAAAGTACTTGTTTATAGCAAAAACATTAAATACTTTCTATACATCATCTTGATCTTTCAATGCATGCTGGATGTTGTTCTTTTGTCTCAAAAATCCACATCCCTCTATATGATAAATAAAAACTTTATTGCTTGCTTTGCATAAACATTTTACAAAAAAAAATAGATGTAACACAAAACTGAATACGATCTGGTACTATTCTTTGGCTGTAAATTTTCGAATGACGCGCTCAATATGATCCAATCCAAGCTTGAGTTGATCCATAGGTGGACCAAAACTCAAACGAACAAAATGATGGCAAGGGGATTCAAACAATTCACGACGATGCGAAGGCTAAAAAAAAATGAGGATGTCTCATCAACAACAAAATATGCTTACATTCACATCAAAAAAGATACCAGGTACAACGATACTATAGCAAATGTTTAGATAACACCAGATGGTTTGTTCCACTTACACTTTTTCCTTAAGACATTCTTCAAAGAAGCAAAGACCAATGTTAATGGGTTCTGGTAAATGCGATAAATCAAGCCAGACATAAAAGGTGGCATTAGGTGGTACTTTGACATGAAGTCCCATTTCATCTAATCGTTTCAGCACATAATCTTTTTTTGTCTAAAATGACGTTGAAGTGCCTTGGCTTCATTTCGAAACTTTTCAGGGTCCAAGAAAGGAATGGCTGCTAATTGAAGGGGATGGTTTGCACCACCTTCTAAAAACGACCCTGCCATTTCCATTGCTGTAATAACTGATTTGGGTCCTACAATCCAGCAAACACGCCAGCCAGGCATCTAAAAACAAAAAATTGTTCAACATGAATCCAACCAAATCCTATGCACTTACACGAAAGTTCTTTGTAAGACCATCTACCACAATAACAGCATCTTTATTCACGTCTTCCACAAACTCTGTGATACTGACAGTCTTGCCTTCTTTTTGGTTGTAAATATAGGCGGAGTAAAATTCGTCCATGACAAATGTTGCGTGTCGTTCTCTGGCAATATCAACCAGCTCAGCCAATTCTTCATCTTTAATGACTTGACCAGTAGGATTACGAGGATTTGAGGCTACAATGACGCCTAAACCACGCCCAGCGATCTCTTTTCGGATAGTTTCGGGGTCAATATGATAATTTGATTCTTCATCTAAGGTAGCAGGAATAGGCACAAATCGTTTGAATACAGAAAGCATTTGTTCATACGCTGTGTATTCAGGCAAGAAGTAGCCTACATTCACATTACCAATCACAGAAGCAATACGAGATAGACCTGCACGACCACCAGGAACGATACAGACATTTTCGTGCGTATATTTGGATTCCTTGCCTTGACGATAGATTTCGTTGTATAAATTAGCCACTGCTGTTCTTAATTCAGTGGTACCGCTTGTAGGTGCATATTCATACGCATCGTGTGGTATGTCAATCGTTTCTGGTCTATCCATACAGCCCTCAATAGGACCCACTATACGGTATTAGCCTCTCCTTCTCTGTATGTGTGTATACACTTTTACCTTCAGGTGCGCCTTGACCAAAGTTGGACCATTCTGTGTTTGTCGAAGTATATCCATTCTTTGTAGCACGATCCATAACGTAAATAACACCCGTGGATCCAGGGTGTTCAATACCATACACATTCCCTTTGTCTTGGGCTGAATGAGCTTTATTTTCATTACCTGGCGAATTTCTTAACAATTGATGTGCATCAGAATCATGTTCTGCAAGACTAAAAACAATTAATTCAAGCCCAAGTTACATTTACATTTACATTTTGTTTCGAATCTTTTCTGCGATATCTTTCAAATGAAAGCGAGGTTTATGTTCTTCTGTTGACATGATCTGTGTAAGGAAAAGAAGAAAGAGAATAGAGCGTCTTAACCCTTGTTTTTTTATAGTCTTACATATCAATCATGATGCGATTTTTTCGTCATTTATATTCATTTCACTATCCACAAACTCGGTGTGAGCATGCTTGGCAAATTTGTTCGTGTAACTTTTCATGATATCATTCATAGCCAACAATCTCAAATGACATGTAGCTTGTTAAAACCACCCCTTTTTGATTTCTCTATTGCTCACGTTGTCGATCGACGACACAAAAATTGTTCGTAGCAGTTTGAAGCGAGATTTTTCTATGGCGTTTTGTATTGCTATCAGCTAGTTTGAGAGTAAAGAAACAATAGACATAAGAAATTTTAACTATAGACTATTTATATAGAGAAAGAAAAAAGAAATCAAGACTCTAGTCATCAAGGACATGTTCTTCAATTTTTTCTAAGGTTGTCTTCATCAATTCCTTCATCTGGGTAACTTCAAACGCGCCAGGAGAAAAAGAGTCAACTGTGGTGGTGTCAGGTATTTTAGTTTCTCTGTAAAAATAGCGGTTGGCAGTGAGCATATCAAGGGTAATGGAAACCAATTAGTTTTGTAACGCACAAAATCAACAAAAGTTGATTGTTTTGAAAAACGGAGTCCATGGTCATAAGTATCAAGGAGACGGATTAACCTGGTGATGCTGTACATCTACGCTACTAACACGGCTATATAGGCTAAATAAACACAACTTGCGCCACCATGCTTTCGCTAAGGGGTGCTAGAAGGACGCCATGAAAACACATCATGCACACTACACCTTCAGAGAAGATGCAACATTCCATAGCTCCTGTAACGACCTAAGATAAGTTATGCGATTCCTACATCTTTAACACGGCTCGTTCTTGAATTATCTTGTTCATTAAATGTGTGAATAAAAAACCCTTGTAATGAAAATTCTATTGTGCTCTTGGTGTTTGAGAATCGATGCCGTATAATTTGGGTGTGTCCGGAGATTGAATATTCGATAAAGTAAAAGCCATCACAGACCTTCTATAAAGATAGAAGCCGTCATCAGTGAATATTTGCAAAGCACCAAATCTCTAAACTTTAATGATTTTGTTACAAAGAAAGAACGAGATGTTATTAACCTATCCACCACGACTAACTCAACGAACGTGTTCAAGCTGATGACACTATAGATAAACAAGTATAATAAGACTGTCAGAAAGATTCGTCCAACAGCCCATGTGCAAAAGAAGTGAGTAGATTTCGCAGAACGTAAAGCGCATTCTACAGATCTAACTTCTAAATTTATAGGCTCAATAAGACCACGATAGCTTTCAAAAAAATCTATGCCGTTATGTGTGCCCAAGTGAGTGATTGATTGATTGAAGAAGAAAAAAACTACTTAACCAACAGTTGACGTTATAAACTGCAAAAGAAAATCGCAGAAGTAGATTCTTACAAGACTTCCGCTGCGTATATTCTCAAGACGAACAAAGCTTTGCGCGATTCAATAAATAACGACCTATTAGATAACAATGTAAAGCAGCCTTCAGCAATATAGGACAATGAACCTAATTATAATGAAGACAAGGATGAAAAAAATGAAGAACAAGATGAAGAAGGCACTGAAGTTGTTTAGTTAAAGACAATTACCACACAAAATTTCTATAAATATTCATGGGCGACTTATAGAATCACTTACCAACAGACTGAATGGGAAAGTCTTTGATCCTGTAGCTTATATTGCCCAACACAAAAACAATCTAAGTGCGCCGTTGAGTATGTACACTATTCTCCAAAGAGAACCAAAACAACCAGAGAAAATTAATTTGTGGGACAATTCTTCACTGTAAAATATAAGCAAAACCAAGTAGTTATTTGTGAGCATGTGTTGCATAAAATCTGTTAAAAGTAATACCAATTGAGGATTATGATACTGTCGACGAAACAAGGTTGGGCCAATAAAAAAAATTGGTCATTTCCAAATTAAATTGGGACACGGAAGCGAAAATGGGACAAGGATATGAAAATGGGACGACAATGTTAGTATTTTTCATACAAATCAAAATTGATTTTTGAGAAGAACTCCTGCCTGTAGAATCCTTAAGCCCTCGCTAATCAAAACTCAGGCATCACATTCGAGGTGGCGCTTTGTTGGGTGAACATGGTAGGGCGTCCTTGGCCGTTCCAAATAGATTGAGCGATTGTGAACATATTCTTTGAAGCCATAACGTCTCGATCCCAAAAAAAAAATATTGCAGTTTTTGCAAACTAATACTTGATGAATCTTCCGTTTTTCGATACCACTTCCTTGCGTAATATGCTCCAATTTATTTCAAGGCACGAATCGCAAGTCTTTATAATACAGAAGTGTCAATATTCAAATTATGACCAAGTAAACATTACATACCTTGGATGTCTTATACTCGTCTATATCCAGAAGTAACAACTCTCCGTGTGATGTTTGGGTTGTTAAATGAAAATAGAATAGAACAATAAAGAAAACAAAGAAATACAGTGAGACTGTTCAGTACTTCTTTATTACAAAAATAATTTGATTGTTCTCTAAAATATATCTTTTCCAGGTTGTCTTTTATACTACCTGATTTATTGACTAATTATGATTACTGATTATTGATTACTTAACACTTTGACAGCTTGTGCCTGGGAGTTGACTATGTAAATTCTGCTTTCATTCTCCTGGTTATCTAAAAGGTACAATCATGGTTTTCTTATTTGTAAATATCCATATTATCCCAATTACCGTTATTTACTGTCATTATACAATGCTTACTTTATATTTATGATGTATAGTGCTATAAGTGATTATTCATTTATAAGATGAAAGACTATTTATTATATTTTGTATTGAAAGTGCTCAGATCACCACAGAGGGTATAATGATCAGCTGCATTTATTTTACAAGGTATTTGATTTTAAACCGCTTAGAATCAAGTTGTAAGTACATAGTAGTAAAAAATGTTTTTATATAATGGTCATTTAAAATATGTTTATTACCAGGATTGAATCTTTATTACCCACTGGAACAAATAAGAGGCTCTTTGGTAACCTGATCAGATCAGACGGTTTTTCTGTTGATTTTGTTTTTAACAAACGAACAATCACAGAAAAACGTTTAACCAAGCAAATCAATCAAGCTGATCTGATCCTGGATGGTTTTGAGCAGCATAAAGTTGGCAGCCACTATTTACCAATAGGCATAGATCCAGGAAGAAAAAGGGTTTTCACTGCATTTGTTGGTTCAAGTGATAATATTAACAACTTCAGACAATGTTCCATCAATGAATATTACCACTTGACAGGCTCTACAAGATTCTCAGCAGAGCAAGAGAAGAAAAAGAAAGCATGCGGTATCAAGACGATTGAAACAAATATACCCACCAATAAGACTGCCAATGAATCACTGTATATAGAGTATGCCATTTATATGCTCGAAAACATTGGTCGTATTTTCAGCTTTTACAATCAAGAAACTGCAAAAGAAGCCTTTTTCTTATACCAGGGTCGTCAAAGAGCACCGGAGCAAATGGTAAAAATGTTGTTAGATGGTACAAAGAAATACAACAAGAAGTCAAGAGGAAACAAACGAAAAAGAGCAAAGAACAAAGGGAAGCGGAAAAAGAAGGGGGATAAGTCTGGAAAGAAGGATAAAGGAAAGAGAAAAATGGCACTGAAAACAACAGAAACAAGGTAAAAAGCTACTTGGGCATGGCTACGATAATTTTTATACTCATAAGTTTATGATACTTAGAGAAATCAATTTCTTTCAGTACAAACAGAAGGTACCACTGATAGTATTTGGTAGTGGCATGTTTGGGAAGGACCATGTGGAGATGAAAACGGTCCGGACTGGTGTCACTAGTCTTCTATACAGAACGTTGAAAAGAAGAGAGGACTGGTGACTTACTCGTTGTGGACATTGATGAATATTTGACGTCCCAAATATGTTCCAAATGTGAAAGTAGGACTTTGGGTGGTATTAGTGGTGCCCGCGGTAATAGTGTTCTCGTTTGCAAGACGTGCAGAACATTATGGCAGCGTGGCATCAACGCTAGTTTGAATATGATAAACATTGCCAAGTCAATTTGGAAGGATGAAGGCCGTGCAGAACGATTCAAGAGAAATTAAAAAGAGAAGCAATGATCGCCATAATAAACACGGTATTTCCTTCGGGAATTAAGATTGTTATAGGTAAAATCATCTAACATGCTATTGTACCTTCTCTAATAATTCTTCTCTTTCTGTTTAATTTCCATTCTTATTTCGTCCAAAATAGGTAAGAAGAGCATCTAAAAATTAATTTTGATTCGTCCAGAAAAAAACTAACATCGTTTGAATTCAAAGTAGAAATACTGTAAATTGAAATGAACATTTTTTTTTCTCTTATGGAAGCACTTTGTCTAAATCTATCTTTAGATGCCACCTTTTCTTTATTTTATTCTACATTGTTCTTTCTTGATGCAAACAAGTGCTTTTTCTTTTTATTTTTTTTTTATCGATGGCGAATATGGGTATTGCCTAGTTTATCTATAACTTCTTCTAAGTCTGACCCTTCATTGTCTTCTTCATTGTCTTCTTCATTGTCTTCTTCAGTGTCTTCCTCACTTTCTTCTTCAGTGTCATCAAAGGCAGTAAAAGCATTATCTCTATTATGATTTTGAAATAAATCATCATCTTCGCTATCATCTAAATCGTCTTTCTCTGCCTTTTGTTTCTTTGACTTTTCATCTTGTTCCAATTGTGCAAGGTATTCATTTTGTACAGCAATCACTTCAGTTGAATCTTTACATTTAGCATAACGCGAAAGCAATCCACTACCCAATATCAGCATACATTTTCCTTATTTTTCTTCCTCACCCATTCACGTTTTTAAAGGCATGTCCCCACTTAAACTTTGACATCAATTCATCTCCATGTTCAGGGAAACCGGTAATATGGAAAATAGCAGCCAATGCTTCAGCACAGTTTAGTTTCCAAGGCTTACCGTAATTTACTGGATTAGTAGCCACTAAATAAGGCAAGAGACGATCCGTAGGGCCTCTGATCTTACTGAAAGGTACTTCGTCAATGCGTGCCCAGGAACAATCGACTACACCTGCACCATAAAGTTCAACAATTTTTCTATCTGCTGGCGAAACTGCCTTTTCTCCAACAGGGCTAAAAAATATAGAAGTATGAGCCCCATGTATAGATATAATTAGATTTTTACCTTGCTACAATACCACGGAAACGCTGTGTTAATTTCAGAGTCTTGAGCATATCGCATCGAGCTAGTTTGACACCAGAACAACGCTTAGGATCGCAATGCTTAAAATCCTACCAGTGACTGTCAGTAACATGCTAGAGGCACGCTTTAAAGGGTTCTCCTTTACCCACATAACAACTGGCATAGGAATACTAGAACCCGAGTCTTCTTCCACTACAGTATGAATGCATTAGTATTCTCTCCTTGAGTACTATATCAGATTACCTAGGCCTTCTTGTTCTCCGAGTACACTCAAACTTGCACCTGCATATCGATCGTATTTGTTTCCTTTTCCAGATCTAGTGATGTATAAGACAAATGACAGTTCTGCGCTCATTACCCTGCATGAGGCCTTCCATGACTTCTTGTGTTTGATTTGTTTGATTTAGAAGCACTCTTTTTTTGATAATCTTCTGAATTCTTTTTACCCATCCTACACTTTACTGAAAAAAAAAAAACTTTTTTTCGTAGCCTTAAAAGGAATTCGAAACCACTGAAAAATAAATAGCGGTCCCCCTCCCCTCTCACACTATCATTTTATCATTCTATGTAAACATGCTTCGTTCTACACGTCATGCCCTTTTCTTTCGTACCATGTCAAAGCGCAAACTCGCTACTTATCATGCTGCCCCTGTTGTGAGCCGCCCATTAACTCCAGAAGAACATAAAGTGATTGAACCCATGATTCGTGTTGATCAAGCTGGCGAAGTAGGTGCTTATTACATCTACAAAGGACAGATTGCTGTCTTGGGAAAAGACAAGAAACTGAAGCCTATTCTTCAAGAAATGTGGGACCAAGAGAAATTACATTTAGCCAAATTTGATGCCTTAGTAGGCCATCATAGAATAAGACCTAGTTTCTTGCGTCCTGTTTGGGAAGTGGCCGGTTATACTGTAGGATTCGGAACTGCTTTAATAGGTAAAGAAGCAGCGATGGCATGTACAGAGGCGGTAGAGACTGTGATTGGTAATCATTACGATGATCAACTGCGTGAACTGGTAGCTATTAAAGACCATAATCAAGAACTTGCTGACCTTAGCCAGGTAAGAAAACAAATTGTATTTAATGCCTATTCATTTTATTACCATAGACTGTAGCCAAATTCAGAGATGAAGAATTAGAACACCATGATATTGCTATTGCTCATGATGCTCAACAAGCACCTTTGCATTCTTTACTCAAACATGTCATTATGCAGGGTTGTAAGACTGCTATCTGGATTGCTTCCCGCGTGTAAATGTTACTTGCATTATAAACTGACATTAAAAAATTCTTGCTTATGAGGTTTTCATATGAATGTCTCTCTATTGACTAGAAGCGTGATGCATGGGAATATATGTAAAGACCCGTTTAAATTCCGCAATTCAATTCCTATTTAACGCGTTTATTTTTCTCTTTTTCTTTTTTCTTTTGTTCGCAATGTCTGATATCAAAACACCTGGTTTCCAAAGTTCTGAAGTCTTGAATTCTGTCAAGCAATCCGTAGATGTTCTTCCTGCTGAAGAAAAGGCTAAGCTCATTAAGCAAGTCAATGGTATCTTTGAATTCGTGATTAAGAATGGTGAAGGAAAGACAGAAACATTCACTATTGACCTCAAGAAGAATGGAGATGTTTTTAAAGGAAAGGGCCCAAACAAGGCTGATGCTATTATCAACATTGGTGATGCTGATTTCATCCAGTTGGCTACTGGTAAATTGAATGGTAAGTAGTAGTTATTTTATGATGAGCAATCTGACTGACATGTGATTCTTTAGGCCAAAAAGCTTACATGTCTGGTAAACTCAAGATTAAGGGTCAAATGATGTTGGCTACTAAGCTTGATACTGTCTTCAAGAAGCTTGCTGGTGGACAATCAAAATTGTAGATAACAATCATAAATAAAGCATACGTAAGCCATTTTCTTTATTTTCATGTGATATTCTGATGAGCATCACAACATAATGCCGTTCGTTTTTTTCCACTCTAAGACAAAATCAATTGAATTCACTGTCAGTTTGTTCCACAAGCAGCATGTATTGAGCCAATGACGCGTATTGGCTTTTTTTTTTTTTCCTTTCTTTCTCTCTAATCTTGACAATGTCTTCACTTGATGGCTTATCACTCGGACAACTGTTTCTTTCAGGTCAATCAATCCTTACCCAACTGGAGGACTCAACACTCTCAAGCACTGATCCTCAATATCAATCTCAAGTGAAAGATGCCATTCAACGTCTAACACGAGCAGATGAATTAATTACTCAACTTCATATTTTCAGTGATAACGAGATCCTCGAGGACATGAATACCAATGATCTCAAATTCTTATTGACAACCGCTTATTTAGGTGACTTGACCTTGAAATTATCAGGTAAAGATCTCGATCGAAGTACTGTCCTGAACCAGTCCAAGGTATATAACTCATTTGATGAGTCTAACGTATTGACATGTGTGTACAATAGGAATACATTCAACGCTTTCTCTGTGCTTGTCAAGATCATGAGCTTCTGAACAAAGAAGATGTCACTCTCATGCAACGCTTATCTCATAATGGCAAAGCACCTTCTGTTCCTGCAGCACAACAACGCGAACAAAAGATTGCTCGGTTTAAGCGTGAAAAGGCCATTAAACAGCAAATTCAACAACTTCGACAACATATTGACCAAGCCAATGAGAAACAAGACGATGAGGATCGAGACATTGATGAAACAGAGCGTGAATGGATCTTGGCTTTGATCCAACTTGAAATTGTAGGATCTTTAGAGAATTGGCATGCTATTGAACAAGAATTGGTGATGGTGAAAGAAATGGAAATTATGCGGGAAATGATGGAAAAAACAGGACGTAGTATGTTCCTAGAAAAACCTGTCAATACAAGAGCCAATTGGGGTAACGATAAACCTCTGCTAAACAAAGAAGGTAGACCACTTCAGCCTTTTGTGATTACAAACCAACGCGAACAGATCAAATCCAAAGTGTTTGGTTATGGACATAATCTACCTACCATGACCATTGATGAGTACTTGGAGCAAGAAATGGCTAGAGGAAATATCATTCAAGGAGGGTAAGTCACATAAAATCAAGTTTATGTAACTTATTCAGGTAGTGGTGAGCCACCTGAAAAACAACCTATTGATGATAATGACTATGAAGCTCAAGATGCGGAGACGATGAAAAAGAGGGAATGGGATGAATTCGTAGAAGCAAATCCAAGAGGTGCTGGCAACAGAGGAAACAAAGGATAATAAAATTATATATGCTATTTTGCAAAAGGATGATAAGCATATTGTATCACTTTTGATAACCCCTTTTTTTTTTTTTTTTTTTTTCCTAAATGGGCACAGTCACATTATTATAAAAGAAAAATATAAATTTTTTTTTTATTTCCTTCTTTCTTTCTTTAACACCATGACCAACTACGACATTGAACGTATCAAGAACTTGCTCGGTACACATGAAGACTTCCCTAAGAAGGTATATTGAAAATGAAATAAAAACATTTTTTTTTCTAATTTAAAGAATAAAATAAAAAGGGCATTGTATTCAAGGATATGTTCCCTGTCTTCCAAGACCCCACAGCTGTTGAAGCTCTTATTTCCAATATCGTTCAACACATCAACTCTACTTATAAGGAAAAGATTGATGCCGTTGTTGGTAATATACACGATACATGATGAAATGATGTTAATGCATAAATTTAAAGGTCTTGATGCCCGTGGTTTCTTGTTTGGCCCCTTGATTGCTCTTCGCTTGGGTGCTGCTTTTGTTCCCGTTCGTAAGCAAGGTAAATTGCCTGGTGAATGTGTTCAGGCTACTTATGTTAAGGAATATGGAGAAGTAAGTAGAGAGGAGTCATTTGCTTGATATTGATTCTTGTACTAGGATGTATTTGAGTTGCAAAAGTCTTCTCTCAAGGAAGGTGCTTGTGTTATTGTTGTTGATGATTTAATTGCCACCGGCGGTTCTGCTGCTGCTGCTGGTGAGTTGATTAAGAAGTGTAATGCTAAGACTATCGAGTACGTCTTTGTTATGGAACTTGATTTTTTGAATGGTTCTAAGGTTTTGGATGCACCCGTTTACTCGTTGATTCATTTGTAATTTTTGTCAAAAAAGAAATAAAACTCTGTTAGTTTATATGTACTTGCTTCTCTGTTGGAGAGAAAATGACTGTCTAATAACACCATTTAACTAGGGCTGATGCATTCATTTATTTATTACAGTGGCCAAAAATTATCTTTGTTGTGAGATGAAGAGAGAATAGATATTCAATAAGAGAAAAGGTAAGAACACAGAGAAAGTCCGTTAGAACTTGTATAGGTTTTTTTATTTCTCTAAGAAATGTTATCTCTTTCAATTGCTATAAAATGTCAAGGTATTTATACTTTTTCTTCTCGTTCAAAATATTGTTTTGGGTTAGCTTCTTGACTACGGATTGATTTGTTAGATCAGGAGCAATTAAGAGAAATGCCTCTAGGGGAAGTTGTCAGCTCAGCCAATAGTGCATGATCTGACCTGAACTTGAATAAACTACTACATATTTGTTAAATGCCAATGCTAATGTATTTGTCAGCTCTAACTGTCACTTAATGGGGGCCATTGGTAATAATAGAGTCACTAGGTCAATAATCTCTGGCTATGAGGATGATGTAGTACTTCTAGTGGAATGAGTGAATGTCAGTGACTATAGATCCATTGCAATTGCCATAGATGTAATCTGGTCTTTTGCCATGATCATCATTTATTGATTTATACATATGAATTCATATATGTTCACAACAAGTACGAACAATGCACATTGACTGCTCCCATTTTGAGTGAGAGGGTATATGCATTGAAAGACGGCAACTGGGTGACAGGAAAAGGACAGGAAGGAGAGACAAGAGCAGAGACACCACCAGAGCCACGGTTGTTTGCACCAACTACCTTTGATCCATATAGATGGTATTGCGACCAATCTATAGGAAGATAGCCGGCGGTGAGCCAAGTTTCGGTGATAAATAGGATATTTGTACAGAGAGCATGTGAAATAACATCGTGGATGGTCGTGGTTTTTAAGCCATTCGCATTCCAGATGCTAATGGAGAAGGAGCGGAGAGGGTTGGTTGATTCTTGTGGATTTGATGGAATATTCATTAATATTCCATTTCAGACTCATTGTCTGAAGCACCAGATGACTTGAACAAGAAAGCAGCCGATTTAGGGTCTTGTTTCTCCAAACGAGCACGAGCAGCAGAGAGAACAGTCTTGAGATCATCGTGATCAATCCAACCCAACTCCATGAAAGAGCGGGCAAGAGGACCAACAACGACAGGGCGAACAAAAGAGAGAGTATCAAGTGCACGATCATGCACAAGAGAGTGCATTTGTTGAGCACGATCATCAACAGAGAGAGCAGAAAACTTTGGATCAGCAAGGTGCTTAGGATCCAAAGGATCGAAGCCACCGATCAATTCAGCACCTACCTTTTGCATGATAGCAGTGAATTGCTCCACATACTGCACATGCATCAGGAGGCCAAGCACACCAGACGCAGGGAAAGAGACATCAAGGATACGTCCTGTATCCACACCAGAACGACGAAGATGAGAACGGACTTCAGCTCTATTGATCTTGCGAGAGCGACCAAGGTACACATATGTAAAGCCCTGTGGGCCTTTAGCAGCAGGGCTCACAAAGGCACGGGCAGCAGCAACTCGTTTCTTCTGCGAAACGCGGGCAGGACGGGCAGGGAGAGAGGCAGGCTTAGCAGCCTTGGCTGCCCAAGAGGAAGCATGGATGGATGAATCACCACTGCCTGGGTGTGTGGCAGTGGGAGTAGGGGGAGAGACAGGAGAAGAGACCTGAGCGTCGCCCCAGACAGTGAAAAATTGGACTCGAGAGTCCAGACACAAGAAAGGAGCTTGGTGTTTTCTGATTCCAAGAAAAATTTTTCCTGCTCAAGGATGGAAACTTTTTCTTTCAGAGCTATGAGTTCTGAAAAAACAGTTTCGTGTTGTTGTACCTGTTGTGCTAGGGTCAGCACAAGTTGATGCAACTGCTGGATGTCCAGGTGAGTTGCCATTTTGATGGATGGATGGTTGTTTTGGACGGATGAATGGTTTTGTGGACGGATGGATGATGTTTTAGACGGATGCACTAACGGATGGATAGGATGCAGCGTTGGATTTTTTGACAGAATGATCGAATCTAATTGGTCAAAACCAAAAAAAGTGATTGAAAAGCGAAAGAAAAGTGCCTGGCTGCTCGTTTAGCTCTGGTTAAAGATTATGTTTTATTGAATAAACAATTATATGGGCTACTCTATGGAATTGTATGAACAATTTTCAAGAGAGAAAAGGAGAGAGAGCGAAAAAAAAACCTGACAGAAACAGACAACAGGAAAAAAGAAGTGGAGACAGAAAGAGTAATGCATTGATGCTGTTGTGAGCATATAGAATCTCATGGTTCTTTCACATAAAAAACAGACCCATACCATGACCCCTCGAACACGGAGCATCGTCAACCTGAAAACAATACAAAGACCTGGTCACAAGCTGCTGCTCGAAACACTGTGTCCTGGCGTAGCCCTTCGCCTAGCACGAACACTCCATCAGCCACTAACTACACAACCTCCTCATCTAACTCTCGATGGGCATCAGCCTTAGATGTTACTTTTATCAGCACTCACACCTTTTATTGTTGGGCTGGAACAAGACAGTATCTTGATCGACATCACCAACATCCGAGATGTTAACCGCAAACACCTATCATTTTTTCGGCACCCTGCTTGTAGAGCGAAAGTACTTGCAACGCAGATTCATCGAAACTTGCTGGGACCTTGAGTCCTCCATATGTCAGGCATTATTGAACGAAGGGTTGGCTCTTGATGATAAAACAGTAATTAAAGGTTATCGCAGTCTTCCAACAGACGCAAAGATTGTCAGAGTAAAAGTTGAGCGCCTTCCTTTGATTCATCCCCTACGTTTGCGTGAATAAATGGTAGAACGTTTTTCCCATTTTGGTGAAGTCTTGGATGCTGGGCTTCACATGGATGGTAGTGTCTTTTTCGGACAAGGCTATGTAGTCCTTAACCTGAACAAGCCCCATCCTACCGATCCTCAAGCTCTTAGCAGAGTTATTGACTGGGTTAATAAAGAGAGAGATATTCTTCTTACTTGGGACGAAATGCCCCCCCCTTTTGTCGTTTCTGTCAAAAGTATGACCACTGCCGAGCTGATTGCGTTGAATTGACCAACAGCCGCCAATGTTTCAATTGCAGCGAGCGTGGCTATATAAGCAGGGATTGTCCTCGTAGAAGTCATGGCAATGGGCTTCCACACAATAAACGTGTTGGAACAAGCGCCACTAAAGCAGCTACTTCAATAACTGCTCCTACTCCTCAGCAGTCAAGCGACGCACCTGCTGCAAGAACAACTGCCTTTTTAAAGAAAGACAAAGCGAAAGAGAATGCAGTTGTCTCGGCCAATGGCAAGCAGAAACAAACGTTATTACCCATTTTGAAAAAGCAGGAAATTGAACAAACCAGGGATGAGAGTGATGACGATGTGGAAATTGACGTTGATGGGGGTGATGAAGAAAGCAAAGTTGAGGAAGCTATAGCTGTAGTGATCGGCAATTCCCTAATGAGACCCGATCAAATTTTTAACACTAAGCGAAGTAATCAACCGGTACAAAAGGACAAAATGGGTTTAGGCAATCCTCCTAGTAATTCTCCAGGAGATGAAACTTACACCCAACACTAATTTAAAAAATATGACTCAAAAACAGCTACAGATAGCCACACTTAACTGTCGTGGCCTCATCAAAGCGCATGATTCAATAAAACGTTCCTTATTCTTTCGATTTATACGCTCTACTCAATATGACATATTTTGCTTCCAAGAGACCCATGCCAATTCCTTAAGATCTAAATCTATACTCGATACAATGCTTCAGGCGAAATCCAGTATATGGACTGAACATTGCGGTATTGTATCATTCAATCCCAACTATGCTATTCAACAACATGAAGAGATCACTGCTCAAGGCAATAGATGCATCCTTGCTTCTGTCTCTGGCACTCAAGATCCTTCTTCTCCTATAATGTACATCGTTAATATTTATGCCCCTGCTGAGAGAACCGGTAGACTCCACTTCTTTAGAAATTTAGCTGCCAACTAAGCTCTTATGACCCAATTACGTTCTTCCACCGTCCCAACCATCATCGTTGGTGATTTCAATTATGACATTCACAAACAATCAAACATAGACGCAGATTGGACCACTCTACTGTCTGCACTATACCATAATTGTTTTGAACATGAACTGCTACCTACCTTTGTTGGCACCATCGGGAATCGTAGCCATATTGATTACATTTTCTGTTCATCACCACATGCATCCAATATCAAATATATGTCACAATCCTTTGTTAAGTACAGTTGGACGGATCATGCTTTACTGACGATCCATTATCAGCTTTCTTCAGCCGCAATGGGAAAGGGATCCTGGAAGGGTAATCCATTTTTGGCAAAATTGGCTGCTTTTCGAGAGGGTCTTACGGATCACATAGCAAAACATATTGAGCAAGAAAACCTACTTGATCCAAACTCTGGTAAATCCGTTCAGGACATTTGGGATTAATTAAAAGCACAAGTCAAGTTATACACTCGAAGTTTTCAGTTAGATAGGCTCAATTGGAGAACGAAAACCATTAAGCGTTTACAATCGAAACGAAACAGAATTCTTCGAGAGTATAAAAATACATCTATATTGTCGTCTTTGTTACCTTCGGTAGAATCCTTACTTAGTACACTACAAGAAGAGATGGCTGCAATTGATCAGTTGAAAGCAGGCAAAGTCTGGCGTGAAAAAGGAAAAAAATCTGCTGGCTATCTTAAACGATTGGCTACTACTCGTTCTTCTCAAAGGTCAATTCTTGCACTTCGAGACCCTCAGACTCAGACTCTTGTCTCCACTACTGCAAGCCTAACTGCTGTCATGGTTGACTTTTACAAGACTTTGTACGAGCCTGACCGCATCAAGTTAAGGGATGTACGATTACTATTGAGTTCTACCTACCAGGAAATCACTACTGAGCAAGCATCAACATTGATCAATCCGTTCACTTGGGATGAAATATTAGATGCAAGCAAACGCTC